GTCTGGTAAAGGCCTAACAATAATAGAGCAAAAACCCTAACAATCAGATGACCCTGTATGAGCAAGCGCTTGGTGACACTGGCAGGATGAACTTCTGTGGAACAACCAGGCTCAGGGAGGGGCAGCCATCTCCAGAAACTGGTTGGGTGTACTGAAGAGAGCCAGAGTTTAAAAACAGCTAATAATTAAATGCAGTGTTGGTTATAAACGCATGGAGAGTAAATCCAAACTGGGAGTTGGTACTACAGGAAAGATTGGATTCTGGATTTCCCATTGTGTAAAGCACAGTGGCTCCAGCACACAGCCCTGTGGAGCGCCATATTAGCCTTAGTGTGTGAAGAAGACTCCCCATTTACACGAACTGAGTTTATTAGATATTATTCAAACCCCTGTAGAGCTGTACTGTTAACACTACTAGTGTGTTCTGATATCGACAGTAAGTTACTGTGATTATCATAATTAGGGTTGAAGCACTAATTAATAGCTGAACTTCGCCCCAGCCTGCAGGTTTCTTCCACAGGAATGTGTCTTTCTGTGGCAGCAAGCATCTGTAACCCAGTGGGCTATTTATCCCCTTTTACCTACTTTTCCACATAGAGACTTGATACTTTGATTAAATGCTGACTATATCTACAATATCTAACGAGCTGCCCAAGGAAATCAGGTCAGATGAGTTGAAGGCAGCTTACACTGCCTCTTAAACCATACTTTACTGCAGAGGCTTCAATTTCAGAGTATTTCTAAACTGTTTAAATGCCTTTGTGCATTGGGGTGGTTATTATGTGCTCTGGTGCGTAAGTATTGATACCAGGGAGTATTTGGTAAAGGTGTGATAAAGTTATTGGTATGCATGATGGTGAAAATGAGTGTTTTTAATGCATGCACTTCACAGGTTCAACTCTTGTAGCGAACAACCGGGTGGAAACGCCATCAAATGCTGAACAAGTCCCACCTTCCTTCAGTATTCCTGACTTCAGCGAGACAGAGATCACGTCTAAATGTTTTGCTCTGGATCTTCTCGTTATGCCTCATTCTTGTGTTGCTGTTATTTGGTTTGTGTCTGACTGCAGGTGCTGGAACGGCTACAGCAGAAAGGTTTCTTTATCACAGGGTCGTGTGGCGGCGGAGTGGATTCCTCCCTGTTTAGTGAATACGTCCTGCGACGGGAGATCCAAGGCAGACGCCCCCTGATCCTCAAAGCAATAAAACAGGAACTCCTGCATTAAATTCAGAAGACCTGATTGCACATCTGTTCTGTGCAAGTGCGTGGACAGTTTGTCACGTGACACAGACTCCCTCACTGCAGCAGAACAGTGAAACAAAGCGGGACGTGCGAAACGTGGTCTAATCTTCAAACGTGAACGTAAGGTAGCACCTGAATTAAAAGACAACACAGCCATCCTTTCACCAATTTATTTCATCACATTGATGCAAGATATGTTTTCCTTCCTGTGATTCCCAAAATATCCACATTAACTGTCAGTCTGTGTCACGCTACCAGAGTGAAATCCAGCCATTACAGTAAATAAAGATTTTTCAAAGAATAAATGTTTTTAATAACTTGTTGTGATGAAATAAAAACACGAAAGAGTTTTTTTTTTAGATTTGTTGGAAACCAAGAACTCGATTCTCGTCTTTAAAGGTATTCAGACCTTTAACTCGGCGCTTTGTGAATGCGTCTTTGGCAGCAGTGACAGCCTCAGGTCTTCCTGTCTGCTCTTCTCGAGCTTAGATTGGATGAAAGCATCAGTTCTGTAGTCCCGCACACGCGTGTGTTATATGTAACCAATGCTCATTTTCTCCTTTAACGCACACATATGTAACCATGTGGGCCTCACATCAAATCTGTACACAAACATTTCAGATGTGAGGCAGTGGCCCACAGATCGTCAGAAACAGGTTTTCACAGCTGATGCTGGTTTCTGTGCTTTCAACAGTCGCATTGAACAGTGTAAATATGAAGGCATGAGCCTTGCCTGCATGAACCTTTACATTCATATTTAATACTTGCGAAGACCATCAGTTACTTTTACCTGATGCAAGCGTGACAGGTTTATTTTTGGTACGGCAAAAAAACAAAAACGTGTAACAAACCGAGCTTCTCAGTTATATTTTTAAGCTTTAATTTCATTTATTTATAGCATGCAACATTTTTACTGTAGAAGCACAATTCTTCTCCTCATGCTTTGAGAACTTACAAGAATCTACAAAAAAGAAATGAATGTATTTTGTATTTGGTTTTTCAAACGTGTTTTAAGGGACAGTGAATCAGTCCCACATTGTATATTCACGTCATCTTTTGTTTTGCATAATTACTGTAAGATCATTTTATGAATGAAGAACTGAGACTCTTTAAAAGGCTAAATGCACAAATCTGTCGTGAGTTTTATTTTGAAAAGGCAAAACTTTGATTCTTCATTTGTTAGTGGCATCGTGCACTTTGAACAGCTCAGACATTTGGAAAATGTGCTTGTCTGACATAGACAGAGATCGACCTCATATTCATGTACAAAGGTGAACAAACGTTAAATAGAAATCTCCTGCTGCTGTGCAAACGGTTAACTAACACGAGTAGCCATCAATCAGATCACAACAAGAAAACAAAGGAGCACATTTTCCAAACGTTGAGCTAATCATGTAAAAATATTAGGAAAACTGGTTTGATGCTGCTTTCTGGCACTTCCATGATGACACCGGAGTGCAGGGAGGCTTCACGCCAAACAATTATGTAAGAAACCACAAAATGCTTGAGAGGACCTGGTTCAATAAAAGACATTTGCCACATTACATGTTACTCTTTATTACCTGCTGTGCTTTAACATAACACCGTCTGATGTTGGGATGTTAAGTTCAGCTAAACCAGAGTTTGCAGCTTTACATTTAACCGAACCAACACTGCGTGTGTGTAAATGACATCCTTAAACATGCGTCCACAGCTATAATCACTGCGTCTCCATAATCGACTGCAGTGTTGATCTGTGGTCATGGGCACAGCTGCCTCGTGTGCCACATGTTGGCCTTCAACTAATATTACTGAGAGAAAACGTTGAAACAGATCTATAAAAACAAAGCAGTGGGATTTAAATGTGTCATTCTTCATCCATCAGACGTGTTCATAACCCTACTTGTCTTTTCTTGTTAGTCGCAGCATAGATGTAAAATGGAGCAAAAGGTGTCCGAAGGAAAACTAAAAGACTCGACGCCAACAAAGAGCAAAGAAATCCCTGCTGTTAGGCTGCTGATGATCAGAGATGTGATTCCAGCTTTATGTGAACCAAAGAACATTTTCACATTTGTCCTTCACTTTGGGCTCATGTACAAACACCTGTAAGCACTGAACTGGACTCTGCAGTGTAACAAGCAGCAGGATCAGTGCTGGGATCAGCAGCACGTTGCTGGGATCAGCAGCACGTTGCTGGGATCAGCAGCACGTTGCTGTACGTGAAAATAGCCCCGCTGCTTGATCCATTAATCTCAGTCAACGCTTTTGTGATGGAGTTTATGGTCTTTTAAATCTTACAGACCTATTTGTTGCACCACTTTGTTCACTTTCTCAGTTATGGTCTCGTTAGCGTCATAATGGAGACGAGTCGACCGTGGCCACGGTGACACTCGTGTGGTAAAATTCATCTTTTATAGTCTATTGTTGTCTTACTGCGGAGGCTGCAGTTAAATATTGACAAGTCATTAGCTAATGAACGTTACCTAGTGTGTTTCTGAGTCTAATGGAGATTCTGTTTGACAAAAACTTAAAGTTATATGCTCAGTCACTGAATACAAAGTCATTAGGAGCCAATCGCAGGAAAGCTCAGATTTTTGGCATCTGACTTAATTTTCTGAAGTTTCGTAAGACTAGAAATGTCAGGTTTGTGGGCGTTTCCAGCGGGCTGGTGCTTCTTCATGCTACCTGAAAACATCTTGCTAAGGTTATTTAAGATTGTTCCCTGGCTGTTGGTGTGGATGCAAGCGACAGGCCAGAACTGCACCGCGTCACTGAGTTCAGCTACTTTTGGCTCAGCATGCTACGCTTAATTACAGCAATGAGCTATCTGACTGACAGCATGGTGCCAACAGCCCATGTTACAAATCAAGTCTTTAAGTAATTGTAGCACTGACCAGCTACACTTACCCTCACATCAAGCAGTCACACAGCTGATCACCTACTCAACTCAGGGTTTCCCAGTTTAGCCAGGTTCATGGACAGGTATCCTGACAGTAGATCGTATATTTTACAAACTATGAGAAAAATCATGTCATGGTCTCACAACTTGCAGCGAAGAAGAGAAAAAAGTAAGAAGTGAAGAATGTCCTTAATTTCTTTCCTTAATAAGTGCAAGTGAATATTTAGTTGGGCTGCTTCAAGCTACTGGCTCTGGGGTGCAGAGTCAGCCTGAGATTGCGATTTATTATTTTTTTGAACCTTCATGACCCTAAAAACTCAGAGGTAAAACTACAGTTTCCTGGTTAAGCAACAAAACTTCCTTTGCACTACAGTCTTCTGTCGCAGAGGAAAGAATCTGCAACTGTAGGTAAGAAACAAAGACACAGTGAGATGTGCAATTTCAACATGTTTTTAATCGTGGAAAAAACCCAACAATCCAGCAGGAAACCACAGTCACTTTACTTTTTCCACACAGCTCACGGACACACAGCTGTGCTCACTTTCACATTTCGTTTTTCCAACAGAACAACAGCAAAACCAAAACTGACTGCGATTCAAATGCAGCTGAACCCGACCGTGACAAAAAGCAAAACAGAATATCACAAAACGAGGACTCCAACAAATTATTTTAGATCAACTGCAGGAAGACAATCAGCTGATCAAAGCATGGCTTTGTAGAGGGTGAGAGAGTGACGCAGAAAGGGTTCCTCCTCCATACACACCAGCAGATCCTTCAGGATCAGCCGGGTCACTCTGTGAGCACCTGGTCTGGGCAGCACACACACCTGACACACACACACACACAGTTTCTGTGTTACCCTCCCTGCATGAACCTGCTGGTTGTTCATAAACACATGCTCCTGCTCTTCAGCTCGCTTGGCTGCTACAGATTTAATTTAATCTGATCTCTTAAAACAAAGCAGCCCAGAGGTGATGATCCATCCACCAGCAAGAGTACGGAGAGGACGTCTCCCTCGTTCAGTTTTATGCTCGTAATTGTCCTGACATAATAAAAATAATCTCATTGGCAGGTTTTAAAACAGCATCTTTCCTGTTAGGTAGCTAATATGTTGCTTTGCCTTTGTTACAAAGTTTCAAATTTTCTCCACGATCCCACTTAAATCAGTCTCATTTCAAACCATGTCTAAAACATTTTAAAATGAAGGGGAAAGGCTTCTTCTGGTTACTGATAACATAACTGATGTGTGATCTGAGCACTAACTCGATATTGAAAAAGAACATCTGTGCAAAGATGGCGCTCTCTCCATCACTACTCCATGCTTCCTGTCAATGTTTGCTGAACTAGCTGAGGTAAAGTCTGTACAGACGTGGAGGAAGGCCTGCAGCAGCGAGAGGAAACAGAGGCGGCATGCAGTCTTTTCCTCTGGGTAATGGAGTTCAAAGGCAGCGGGTAGAGTGTGCAGCTAACAGAGCGTCCCCATCTATAAACCTACAGCCTGAAGCGCTGCGACTTAAACACACAAAGAATTAAAGACTCAATGAGCTAAACTAACAGTCTTATACAGGCTAACTGCAGCAGGTTCTTCATCAGCTGAGGAGGGCAGCAGTTTTACAGCAGCAGGTTAAACATTCACAGATATCAAATTAGAAAAGATGTTTCTGAAATGATCCATTCAGACCACAAAAGAATAGAAAACAAAACTTTGTGCACCCACCTGGCTGTCGGCCTGATCCAGGGGTCTCTTCCTGCGAGGGCCAATGGCAGCCAGAGCAGCGAGGTTGGCCTCCCTCTGCTGCAGCTGAGCTTCCTCTATTTGTTGCAACTGAAAAGAGAAGACAACGAATTTGTATGTTTTCACACATATTTTCTGTATGCATACGTGGACACACTGTCATTGTTTTATATATGCAGTATATATAAGCCAGGGTTTAGAGGCTCGATGAGGCAGCTGTAGCTAATCACTGTCCTCCAGGTCGCACATCTAATTCATGTCACTTCCGATCACTGAAATGGGAAATATATGACAAATTATGGCAGAGATTTGTTAACCAAATCCACACCAACTTTGTTAAGTGCGTGTCACTAAAGGCACAATATTCACCAGTGGGAATCCTTTCAGTTTGTACCTGCTCATACTCTCAGTACTTGTGTAGGTACAGACTTGGCAAAGTGCTAGCTTGTGTGCAGTGCAGAGGTTGAGTGTGTGTGTGGGGGTGGGAGGGCATGTAAATGAACAGATTGTGTTGCTGTGGAGAAGCCTCTGGGGGCGTGATGGCTGCGAGCTCCACAGCTACAGCTAAACACGCCATGTGTGGCGTTTCCGCCTCCTTAAATAGCCGCAGTGCTACCGCTGCCTTTCATCTTCCTCACACTACTCCGTCTCCTGCCAGCCAAAAACATCACACACACCATCGTATTATTAAACGAACAATTAGCATGAAAAGTAGCAGGGACTTACAGAGTTCGACTTCCTGATGCTGAAATGAAGCCAGCGATAAAATACAAACTGCCGTTCCCACAATGACCCAGATTTCCAGCAGAATAGAGAAGCTTATGGCCTGGAACATGAATGACTGTGGGCTGCATCTCTCCTTCACTACAACTGACAGACTAAATCTTATCAAGGCTTCAGAATTAACAGAGGTGTGGCTACTTCGACTGACACAGGGCTGCTCGAGTCTTCTAGACTTCATCTCCGTGATGATGCACTGCTAGTCTGTGGGACGGGAACAGCAGGTCACCTCGGCCACTCTTACTCCTGTTACTTCGCCTGTCCTTCCCTTTCAGCTGATCTGTATTCAGCCCACATGTAGCATTGTTCAGTTAAGGTTTACAATCCCTCCCTCTGTGAAGTCAAACAGTCTATGCGTACTAACCAGTAGTGTTACCTGACACCCTTCTGATAATTTTAAGTTGACTTTTATCTGAAAAGAGGTCACGTGTGGCTCAAAAAACAATCAAGCCTTTAAATTTGGACTTATAGTGGCAATGTTCATGTTATATACATGTTCTTTCTTCACAGTTCCAACCTGCAGTCAGAACAACAGTTTCTGCCTCCCAGAGTAAACAGAGCTCACAAACACCAACATAAACGGGGGCAGGTGGAAGAATGACTCCTGTGGAGGTTTTAGAGAAGGAAACGCACCTCTTTGGCTTTTTGCTTGAGCTGCTGATACTCTGGATCTTCAGTGTGAGAGCGACCCTGTGATCACAACCAGACATGTAATCCAGGATTTAATGCACAAACTCTTCTCAGTAGTTGTTTTCAAAGACACATTGAATCTAAAAACACTAATCGTGTTAGAGTTGTAAAATTCTCGGTTTGATAAGAGTGCAGCCTTATTCTGGCTTCACCTACTCTGGCAAAACGCAGCAATCTCTCCCTCTCCTCCTCATCTCTCTTCTTCTTCTGCAAGGTCTCAATTTCCTCCAGGAAGCGAAGCTGAGAACGAACGTCACTGACTTGCGTGTGCCACGAGTTCTGCTGTTGAAAGACAAATTTAACACAAAGGGACCACATGTTGCATTCGTTTGCCACAGGTTCACGGTCCTTTGCAGGCCATGTCTCCATATAAAGTATATGATAGTGCTTCAAAATAACATCTTGTTAACAACATCTTAACAAGTGCCAAGCACCAGGAATGCCACAGTAAACTGGATGGACATTACCTCAGCTGGGTTTTTCAGATGAGCGGCTGATGCATGTATTAACACCTCGTAGCGTTACTAGATGCATCCCTGCTCGGGTCTTATTCATGCCTGTGTTTTACATCTTTACCTTCAGGGCTGTCTTGCGGTGTTCTGCCATTACAGTGAGTTTCTCCAGCAGCCCACGAAGAAACTCCTGAGTAGCATGAGAAACCAAAGCAACCACATCTGGACCAACATCAGTTACTCCCTGAGCCTGTCCTAACAGAGGGTGAATGACAATATCACATCCTGGGAGTCTCAGAGACTAGTCTGAGGCAGTGTCTGTAATAAACATGTGTCTCAGTGTGGATCCTGTACCTGTGTGAAGGATTCTGCTGAGCACCGGGTGAGCGGACAGGAACAGCTGATCCTGACACGACTGCACCACAGCACCAACCGTGCTGGTCAAGATCTGTGCGTTCTCCTCTCTCAGGTTGACTCCAGCCATGGAGGTGACGTCATTAATATCATCATCTTCTCTGGGACACAACACACATTTGTGCTGAGGACGTTTGTGATTAAATGTTGCTGCTGCAGTTAAACTGCTGCTTAATATTCTCTCATCATGCAACATTAGGTGACTGTTGGATCTCAGATGTCACACAACCACCTGCCACAGATGAAGACACCCCCTCTCTGTGACGGCGGATTGTGCATATGAAGGGTGCGAGCTGTGTGAACCAGCACAGCTCCACTTTGAAGGACAAACAGCTGGATGTAGGGCTGCTTTTACACACTTCCTTTCATCCACCCCATAGTGCACAGATTCCAACCACCACAAAATTCCTATTAAAGTCTCAAATGTGTGAACTTTATATCTTACTTGTAAGATCCTGAACTGTCTCTGAATGCAAATTTGGTAGAATTAGGCGGCTCATGAGGGAAGGGCTGCTTTACCGAAAAACCTCCTATAAAACAGCAAAATGCATAAAGAGTGAGAGCACGCCAGGGTCATGCAAGCGTCTCTTGGTGTCATACGGTCTGTACATGTAATTCCACTACACTTTTGAATTTTTAAAGCCTAAAAAACGCATTTAGGTCTCCTGAAACATTGTGAGGACACACTGAAGCACCCTGACTGTGTACAATTATTAAAAAAACAAAACAACACCCTCACAATGAAATAAACAACTACAGGAACAAAAATGAGCTGATTGATCAGTTCTGTGTTCACCTCAACGTGGCTCCAAATCTAAATTTTAACAAAGTTTACCTGAGAAGTTTTTTCCCGAGTATCCCACTATGTGCCGAGTGGTGGGTTTCTTAAATATGCAATTTCTGGACTGGACTAATGTCGTCAGGCCAGGTCTCAGAGCCACTCCTCGAGGCTGGAAAACCTGCATTTTAAAAAAGGTCATCATCATAAATCCAACACTATGATCATAAAAATGACTCCAGCTGTAAGTTTCTATGCCATCTAAATATCTCATACACATTTGTATTAATATAATAAAAAAGGCTCTTAATATCTTACTATAATTTCAAACGTCGGACAACAACACCTCTGCTTTTTTGTGTGTTTTTCTTTTGTGTGTTTTTGTATAGTAAGATACAACCTGGTTCTCAATTTTTCTAGTAGAACAAGGACAAGGTGTATTTTCATAGTGAGACCTTAGCCGCCACAGGGAAGATAGAGTGGTGATGGTGAAGTCTTTGCAGGGGAACGTTTACACCCTGCTGTGCAGTGGACACGTGCAAGTTTTGTTTTCAGGGGTTTCCAGGTCCAGTTTATGTCGTTCCATGTGTATTTGTATTGTCCGGCGTAGGGATGGGTACCGGTGTCCGGTGCCATGATGGCACGGTTCTGACATAAACGGTAGTAACCAGACCGAAAAGCAGCGCACATTTCGGTGCTTTATTTCGGTGCTTTTTTTTCCTGAGCTGTGATACACTTCTAGCCAATCATTTTACGTTTCCGAGGATAGTAGGCGGGGCCAGGTACGTACGTTCTTTTAGAGCAGAGCTACAGATTAAAAATGCCCAAGGCGAAGCGGTCAAAGTCTGGCTGTACTTCACAGCAAAAGATGCAAACTCAGCAGCAACAAGTGCTTTAAGCTGATACTGTGATACTGTCAAAGGAGGTAACACCTCGAATCTGATGAAACACCTGGCGACGCATAGCGTTTTTTTAAAAGCCGAGAAATGCGCCGTATTTGATAGCTTGCTGCGAGACCTCACACCGAGCACATCTACTGCGGGTGTGGTGCCTGTTATCGGACCCGGAGTTAGCAACATCCCCCAAAAACCCGAAGAGGAGAGTCCTGGCCCCTAGCCCTGCCAGTGTAGCAGAAATGATGAGGATGATGATGCAGCAGCAGCCGTTCTTCTCTGCGTGAGTAGCTTCATGTTGTTCGTGTGTAATTTACGTTGAGTAGGCTAACCACGTTATTACATTAATGCATGTAAGGTGAACTAGCAAACATCATCATAGCTACATGCGGCTGTCTTCTTGTTTGATGGCAGATACTCCCTTCACCCTGGCCAAAAAGGCTAAAATGACCAAAGAAAAAGTGGAAAACAGCTTAAACATGAGAGGTTTTTGGACAAAGTTTGTGTTTTTTCCATTGTTTAAGCACTGCTTCCAGCCAAGAGTGATACCATATATGCCCCATAGCTGCAGAAAAGGCTAACATTGTTATCTTTTTACAAAAAAACAGCTGAACATGAGAGGTTTTTGGACCAATTTTGTGTTCTCCATTCTTTAAGCACCGGTTTGAGCACCGTTTAAGCACCGGCACCGTTTCAAAAGTACCGGTTTGGCACCGGTATCGGATAAAACCTAAACGATACCCATCCCTAGTCCGGTGTTTTGTTTTTTTTCCTTCCTGTTCACAGTCTATTACCTCAGGTACAGACAGCAGTCTTCCCTCGGCCACTGTCAACTTAGCCAAGTCAACAAATCGTAGACCCGTCTGACTACAGTAAGGTATGTTGAACACAATCAGTGGTCTTAGAATCGTCTCCTGGGATGTGAGGGGTGCAGGAAATGCAACCAAAACTAACAAAGTCATGGCGCATTTACAGCAGCTGAAAGGAGATGTGTTTTTTCTTCAAGAGGCGCGTCTCTGCAACAAAGAAGTGAGGCGACTCAAGAGAAACTGGATCGAGACTTGTATATCACTCCAAATTTAACGGCAAGGCTAGAGGGAGCCATACTTATTCGTAATAATATTCTGTTTGAGCAACATAAAGTTATTGCGGACCCAGATTTGTGTCAGGAAACTCGCAGGGCTCAGTTGTGTTACTGGCAGCGTGTACGGGCCGACTGGGACGATGAATCTTTTATAGCTAAACTTTTCTCTTCACTCCCAAACTTGGAAAACTATCATCTTATTACTGGAGGAGAGTTTAACTTGGTTCAGGACGCTCTGCTGGATAGATCGTCAACTAAGGTCTGTTCCCTGAGTAAATCTGCTGAAACCCCAGAATCTGTCAAAACTCAGCTGTGGATCCATGGCGACATGCGAATCCTACTACTAAGGCATTTTCCCGTTTCTCTCATCCCCACCACACATATACACGCATAGACTTTTCCTTATCAATATTAGGTTTCTCTGTAAAATTAGCCACTGGGAGTATCGTGCTATCCCCATTTCAGATCACTCACCAGTTTCTTTTGATGCGTTATTAGCGACCCCGTCTCGACCCATTAAACACTGGAGATTCAACTCTAGCCTGTTGATAAGGGATGACTACACAAAATGTTTGAGATCACAGTTCTCACGTTTCCTTGAATTGAATGATTCCACTGAAGTGTCGAGAGGTGTACTATGAGAAACGTCGAAAGCCTACATGAGAGGCCAGCTTATAGCTTTGTTTCAGCTTTCTTACACGCCCAGTGTATTGAATAAGATCAAAGATCTAGATGGCAGATATGCATCGAACCCAGATCCTAACCTCTAAACAGAACGTGTTAAAGTTCAAGCCAGGCTCAATTTAACCACCACCGCAACAGCTATGGTTCAATTAATTAAGACAAAGCAACGCTTTTTTGAATCCGGTGATAAGGCAGGGAAACGTCTGGGTCCAACATAATATCGGACCCAGAGGGAATTAATGAAGTATTTGTTTGTTTCTATTTCGATCTGTACACTTCAAGCTCTCCACCTCTATCAGATGAAACTCTCCAAAATATACATTTTCCAAGAATAGATAGAGATCTGACGAAGGGATTAGGGGGACCAATTACTGTAGCAGAGGTGCAAGAAGCCATTAAATCCTTAAAGACGGGTAAATTGCCGGGCCCTGACGGTTACTCTGCAGAATACTATGAAGCCAATGCTGATCTTATGGCACCATTGTTGAAAGATATGTATAATGAAGCCTTTTCAAAATGTCAATTACCCAAGACTTTGTCCGAAGCTACTATTTGTTTAATCTTGAGAAAAGACAAGGATCCTCTGTTGAGCAGCAGTTATGGACCAATTCCTCTTTTAAATATTGATTTTAAAATACTTTCTAAATTCTCGCACTTTGGCTACAACGTGTTCTGCCACAAATCATCTCCTTCGATCAGACGGGTTCACGGCCGGCAGGCACTCATATGATCATTCAAGACGCCTCTTGAATATTATCCAGACATCGTGCAATTCAATTCCAGAGGTCGTGGTATCTCATGACTCAGAGAAAGCTTTCGACCGCATCGAGTGGAGCTTCCTCTACGAGGTGATGGATAGCTTTGGCTTGGGGGCTGACTTTCTTCTCTGGGTTAAGTTACTGTTACTTATTATCAGCTGTTACTCATCATCATCATCAATACTCAGCTCACCACTCCCTTTCTCTCCGACCCTTGTTGGGGAGAATCCAATAGCTAAGGAAACGGTAACTATTTGGCGACAGTTCAGAAAATACTTTGGGCTACGTGGGCCGTCTTTGCTAACACCTTTACTAAAGAATTGCAATTTTGCACCTTCAAACACTGATGCGGCCTTTAGCAGTTGGAAAGATAAAGGACAGGGCTGTTAAGGACTTGTACAGTCAGGACACCGTTCTATCTTTTGCTGACCTGTCGTCTAAATACAACCTGCCTGATTCCAACTTTTTCGTTATCTTCAGGCTAGATTTTGTAAAAAAGCAGTTCCCTCACTTTCCCCAATCGGCCTCCAGAAACAAATCTGGATATGATCCTGCAGACGAACCCTCATCAAAACAGACTGATACCAGCCTGGTATAAAATACTAGATGCTTTGGTCCCCAAACCAATTTCTCCTACTAAGCTGAGATGGGAGGAAGAGCTGCCAGAACAGCAGTGGGATTCTGCTTTGAAACTCATTCACTCGTCCTCAATTTGTGCCCGTCATGCTTTGATTCAGTGCAAGGTGGTCTGTAAAGCACATTATACAAACGCAAAATTATCTAAGATCTATCCAACCATTACTGATGCCTGTAGCAGATGCGGACTGTCACCTGCCAACCATGTCCACGTGTTCTGGTCTTGTTCTAAACAGAGTGCATTTTGGAGGACTGTCCCTCCTAACCCACTCTCCGCAATGTTTGGCATCCCCCCCAGTTTACAGTAATCTGGCCCCCTTAAAAAGGCCTTAGCCTTTACCACTTTACTGGCTCGGAGGCTTATTCTGTTGAAGTGGAAGCTTCCCCACCCCCAACTCATGACCATTGGGTGAGGGACGTACTCTTTAACTTAAAGTTAGAAAAACTTAGATTCTCTCTAAAAGGTTCAACCTGGAAATCATTTCTCTTACTGGTGGACACCATTACTTTACTTCCTGAGACTGAAGTGAACTGAGCGAGGCGACATTATGAAGTTTCTGGTTTTTTTGGTTATGCTTGTTACTCACTTTCTTTTGTGTGTGTGTGTGTGACTGGGTGATGTGGCTTGAGATATTTTTATGTGTGGAGACTGGATCTCTGCCGTGTCTTGTCTAGTGTGGACCTGGAAGAGGAAGAATCCAGGATTGGGGGGTGTTGGAGGGTATAATGGACATACATTGTTCTGAAATCAAAATCGACTTTGCTGTTGCTAACTGTGTGTGCCATGGCTGAAATCAATAAAACAAAGGTGGAATAATTTCAAATGTCTCACTGCAGGTTGCATCATGTTAAGTTCTTCAGTGTAATCAGGTAATTGGAGCACACACACACCTCATTAATGTTAATCCACTTTCACAGCAACGTGAAAAGCTGTGGGATGCTTAATGTAACATGAGGATGTTCCTAAGAAGAAATATTTTTACTGTCAGTCCTGCAAATACAAGACGACCAAAGTCAGGTCCACATTTTAATGCATTTAAAACAGCACGATTCCTCCTCAGTATACCATCTCTGATTTCTGTTTTGACTATATATTCTTGTGCCGACTGCACAGCTGGATTTTTCTTTTTGCATTTCAAGTCAGTGAATTTCACTTTTGTTAAACTGTGAACCTCCATGGATGCTGCAAATACAACCGTGCTGCTCAGCAATGCCTTTAATCACGTCAACATCCATGAATAAGATCACAGATCAGACATGGTTTATGTTTGGTACAATTAATGTCAAATTCACCCCCCCATAAAATATTGCATCTGGTTACCTGCTGCCTGTTCTGGAGGGTTTTTCCTATCTCAGTGTTGGACTGCTTTATGCTGGAAGACGGTGCTGAGGGAGGGGGTGTGGAAGCTGAAGCTTTCTGGATGAATAACTGGGGGTCTGCAGTAAGGCAACGCACCGCAGGAAGACTTTTCTGGTGGCAATGAGGAAAAACGCCAGTAGAAACAGAAATGTCATCAGCTAAATATGTAACAGTCTAGCTATGATCAATGTGTTTCACATCCTTTCAGCAAAGTGTAACGCAGTCTACACAAATGCAAAAAGGTTTTTATTTTTAAATCAATCGCAGACATCTGGAGATGAGGAAGCAACAGGCTTTACTTCTCAATACCTTGAGAAAAGGCACCAAGCAGGGTTGTGGAGTCGACTTCAACGTGTCATAGAGCTGCTCCGTAAACGCTTCTGCTTCCAGTTTTCCTTCCTGCAGGTAAAAAAATTCAATAAATAAATAAGCTGGTAATTTAATAATGAACTTCATGATAAGAATTAAAAATTACAAGCACAAGAATACAACAACTTATTAACTCTTACCAACAAGCCTCTTTCAGTCTGCCTAGTAACAATACTTTTTGTAAACAAGGTTAAAAACAACAGGAGAAATAAAGTGTCTTCCAGAGATGTACCAGCAGACTCCTGACCAGCGCTTGGACATTGTTAGCCACGTTCACAGATCTGGAGTCACTGGAGGCCAGCTTGATCAGCGTTACCAAGAAGTTCTTGCACTTCTTCACACTTTCCAGCGTCTCCTGTTGGTGAAATATTTAGTAGTCACATCTCAGCTGTTATCATCTACTCCAAAAACTCAAGTTGTGGCTGCTTTTTGTCGTGTTTTTCGTGAGAGGATATCCCTCATATGGATTTCTGCACTCCTAACTCAAACTCTGTTCTGACTGGCTGTCCCTGGCGAGGTTGGTTTAAAGAGGAAGAACTAAGCGGCTACACCAGTATAAGATTACAAAGATTAGTCTGAACTGGAAACCGTGTGAAAAGATTTCCTCTTTGACGATACAACAAATCCTTGGATTTTATAAACAGTATCAGTAAAAATCTAAATAAAAACTCATTTGATGGCTTCTTGCTGAGCCAGGTCAAGCTGAGTGTGCAGGTGGGAGCTGGGCCTGGTCGCACTCACCTTGCTAAACGTGGGCGCTGATTCCTTTTTAGCGCCTGCTGCCTGAGTGCCAGCATGGCTGCCTCGCTCAGACACCACGTTCACCGTGTGGACAAGAGCTGGTTTGGGGGCAACACCGATGACCTGAACACAAAGTCACCAAAAACTAAAACCAGGAACAGCAAAGAAAAGCCAGCATCACAGCAGCAGGAGCCTCTCTGGTGTTTGTTGCTCATTATTCTTTATGTTTCATTGCAGAGCTCTGCTTTTACTCAACTCGGGATCCTATCAAACTGCAACTTTCCAGCATCATTCTGTTTTCATTAGAGTTACTGATTAAAGATGATGTATTGTTATTAACACAGTTCAAGCACCGTCACTAAATGACATTTTTTATACTTCAAATGAAAACAAATGTGTCCATCAGTTGTGTAATTATTGCATCGATTTTTTGGATTTTCTTTCTATACCTAAAAGAAGAAACTAACTGTCAGAGGTGCACACAGTCATACACTGCATAACATGCCATCAGTGACTGTGAGCTGCAAACACACTCCTGTAATTTTACCACAGCAGTCTTCTGGACTGGTGCTGCTTGCTGGAAACTGGAAGTAGGCGTCATCTTGATCACTGTTACATTCTCATTCCTTTTACTTTCAGCTGCTGCACACACCTGAACAGCAGACATGCAGCTCACATCACAGGTGCAATCACACATCTGTCATTATTAAATAACATGGAAAAGCAGCTGCGCACATGCACCCACCTGCGGTGCAAGTATCCTGGTGGGTTGACCACTGATAAGTCTTTGTCCCTGCTGAGCCTGAACCAAAGCCTGCTGAGATATTAGCATCAGCTGCCCACTGTCACTGCGGATCAGCATCATACCTGCCATAAATGTAGCCCAAACACTACAATAAACTGATGAATTATCCTTGCAGGTGACACGTCTAACTGAAGTGTTTATTAGCGAATTATAGACAGCACATGTCCAACAAGGTTTTGGAATATAATAAAGGAGGATCTGTAATGGGATTACAGTGTAGACTACAGTCAGCGGGTTGTGCAGCTCACCTGGAGGTATCTGGATATTGGCTGGGAGATGTGGGGAGGTGGCCTGTGGCAGTCGAGGAGTGACTGGCTGTGCAGTTGCTGATCTGGGAACAGTTATCAACACCGTCCTTCCTGTGGTTGTAACCTGTTTCACGGAGGCCACCTGGTTCTGAGGCTGTTTCGTTGTCTGTTGGTTACCTGCACTCACTCCTGCATTTGCAACCACCACAACAGGAGGTGAGGTGCGAGGCCCTGACACTGCACAGGTTGAAGGCTGGCCACTCGGGACGACTTTAGGCGGGGCTGAGACAGAGTCACTCTGTGACATGCTTGCAGCTGTGACAGCGACTTGTATCCTGACTTGAACAGAAGCGTCTCCATCCCCGGGTGCTGCCTGGGGATCCAGCCTGTTAGCTTCAGTAACCACGTTGTTTGTGGCCATGACTGCAGCTGAACGAAAGAAGGGTTCAAGCATAGTTAAATACAACAAAGGAGTTTTTCAAACGCGCCGTGGTTTGCTAGACTCAATGTCACCCTCATCGTGCCAAAGTGTGTCCAATATCTCAACCTGTTAGCAAACACCTGTCTCGACATGGAGTAGCTAAAGTTTCATGTATTTGCAAACAAATATGAAACCGGCTCATGTTAACCACAGATCTTACCTGAGACACAACCAAACCCCCCACTGGAAAACGCAAACAATTAACACGAAAAGAAGGACACCGGAAGTGCGAAAGTACTCGTTTATTCCAGGTTTTTGGACATTTCTGTGAATTTCTATTTCAGCTGGATCTGACCCATGTACGCTTCGGAAAATTAAGACTCCTTGGGCCTGAATCCAAGATCATTGCGGCCAGTTTTGGTGAAAGATTTCTGAATCCAATCATGCGAAACTGGGAGCCAACCGGTGAAAATGGCGGCTGTGGCAAAATGTAATGCTAATAATTACAAGGCGATTTTATCATTTTCAGCTATAATAAATTCAGGACAGCTACATGTAGAACGGTTTCGTTTTTAAAATGTATGCATGTGGTAAACACCAGGAGCATCCGAGGGTAAACCCCGTTTCCTGCCGGGCTCACATACAGGCTGCGCTAAAGGTTTAAAGCGGGAAAAGGTTTATTTGGTCCTGCACGTTTCCCCATCCAAGTCATGCTTACCTAACCTAACAGTGAGACACAAAACGTTACCTGTGTGCTAAATCTCCCACACACAGAGGTTCAGTCACATAAACCAAAGGGTCCAATTCCATTTCTGAGAGCTGCTGTCCTGCAGCTTTTACATGCATCCTTGTTCCGACACAGCTGAACCAAATGAATGGCTTGTTACCAGGCTTTTGCCAAACTCGGTTTCATGCTAAAGAGGTCATCTAACCATTAGATTAACGCTGTGTTGGAGTAAAGATGCATCTAAAAGCTGCAGGACAGCAGCTCTCGAGGACGAGTTGGACACCCGTGACATAAACGTTGGAGGAACGAGGCCTGACGCACGAGCTCACCTGTGGTAGCTTCGAGAACGGTGTGACGTTCACGGGCTGTCCTATGCTGCATTCAAGGGCTGCAGCTAAGATGACCCAGCCCGAACTTTATTTATAAATCACCGCGAGTTATTTCTTATCGATCTATTCTGAATTTCACTTTAAAGGTAAAATAGATGTACTCTTTGGTTTCTGTTTTATGTAGATTTAGGGCCGTGCAGTATTTAGAGCACTTGCCCTCCTTCTCCATAAAAGAAACAGGTAATTAGGGGTCGATCTTCTAAATTTTATCCCCAAAATATAATTTTAAAGTATTTCATTACTCGAAGCTTTTCAACACAGTCCTCTCTGGTGACATCTGGTGGCCAAAAATATGAAGAGCAGCTTGAATCCACAAAATAAAACCAACTGCTTCATAATGATTGCCCACTCTACAGAGTGGAATTCTGTCTGATATTGGGCCGCCGTTGTGTTGCTTTGAACGTGTATTTTTGGGGGGTTAAAAAAATGTGTTTTATTTGTTTAATAAACTCTTCTTGTTTAAACATGCACCATGGTGTGGTCTTCCTTTGCTTGTGACTTCTTGATGTTGGTAAATAGAATAATTGAAAAATACCACATTACATATAATAAATACATATAATAATGTACAACACATTATGGAGTAGGCTTCTGCTCTGAGGTCTTGCCTCCATGCACTTATGCAATTAACCGCTAGACAGGTATATTTATAAATAATATTACATTAGGGAAATATTCCCAGACATATTTTTGACCTGGGGGGTAGAACTGATTGTGAACTGGAAAGAGAACATGCTTATGAACTTGCAAATTAAAAACATGATGCATTTAAAATAACCCTTTTTCATTTTTATTTAAGAAGAGAACTTGTTCTAGTGTGCGATGGCCGAACCTGTTCCTTTTCGTGGAGATAATTTCTCCTGCCTTAAGGAAAATCCCTTCACATGGCCCAGAGGAGGCTGCAGTGCAGAGAAACTGGTAGAGATGCAGTTATACAGTCTACCTGGGCCCCACCAACTATCAGCCAAAGAGAATAAATAGATTCAATTGCTGCACATTTGGCAGACTAACATTTTCAGATTAATTAAACAATAAAATATATATTTTTACAACATTACATGTAAAGAATCAAGTGGAAGTTTTTCTAAAGTTATTTAATGATATTTATATTATGGAAACAGATTATTGACATTTTTCCTTTTTCCTGTTTTCAGATATAATAAACACGCACAAACAAAAGCAAAGGGCCAGAACACAAAGCTGGAAAACCCACCCGATTGACAAAAATCAACTCAAAATTCTCCCACACAACAGAACCTCCTCGATTCCTCGCTGGCTCCAAATCTCTCAGTGGAATGATCACTGGTTCGCTATCTGTCACCATCAAAACGCTCCACAAATCCCGCGAATGATTCACCTGCTTATAAACCAGGGAATCAGACACCGAAGCAGTTAGGCTCTAAATGAAGCTTCGGACGTCACCGATCACGTGACTCTGGCCAAACAAATCAAGCTTCGACACAGAGCTTCTGAAGCGTCTGAGCGTCAGCTTCAAGCGGGCCATCACTACCTTACAGTATAAAGTGCATCAATGCAACTAAAGTTGTGATTTGGCAGTATTTGAATAAAATGTAAATGTATTCAGCAGACCTCAGCGATCTAGATGTATGGTTGTAGTAACTCATTCATACTGTCATTATATTAATGCTGCTATCCTGTATATATTGTACATACTACTGTTTGAGTACTTACGATTGTTTTTTTTGTACTTTTTATATTTTACATTTATATTTATTATTGAAACTTGCACCAAGGGAGTGGCACTCCAATTTCGTTGTACTCTGTACAATGACAATAAAGGCTATTCTATTCTATTCTATTCTATTCTATTCTGATGTCATTGGGTGAGAACATGGATTGTCATTTTCAAAGGTGATAGTTTCAGGTTAACAAAGAAATAAAATTAATCCACAAATTTGTTCAGAAACTTTAACACATACCAACCCTTCTGAAAGCAGCTGGCTTCCTTTTGTCCTCAGGTGTGTGTTTGGAAAGGCCCGAGACTGGGGGTAACAAGACCTTGATTATACTTCCCTAACCTTTCCCTTCAGTTTGCTCCAGGAGCTCCTTTTACTTTCACACATGGTAACGAGAAGACAACTAGGTGAATATTGCTAATGTCTAAATTAACATCCACTCACAGTAAACTAAAAACATTTAGGTTTATAAGATAAATAAATATAAGTTGTTAACAGTTCTAAGGTTTTATTTCCAACACAGGCTGGCCCGTCCTCCTCTGTTTCTTCACCTTCAGCATAAACTGTCACCTAAATATTACTCTGTAAACTCAGTAAAGGCTCCTTAAACAATAGTTTGTGCTGTTTCGTTTAGCGTACAACATTAATCACTCAAACTGTTAAAATATAGGTTAAGCATCATAAATATAATTAAAATCACCCCCAGCTGCAACATTAAAGACTCAATAATTCCGATTAAATATGACATGTATGATTCTCCATAATGAGTACATATGAGTTAAATACATTGTCAAGTGTTTAAACATGTAGAAATTCATTTGTTATTTTAGAGCAGTCAAACCAAATTATTGCACGTTGATAGAATAAAATAAAAGACGATTGCTTCATATTTGAATCTGAAAGGATTTTTGAGTCTATCGCATGAATTGCTTTGTACGGGGAAATGTAGTGGAACAAAGCTAATTTGTTTTAAATCTACATTTGCACTTTTCTAATTAAGTCTCTTTTGTTCTTGCTCTGCATCACCCGGCCTCATTCACAACACATAACAGCCCAAACACGTGCATAACCAAGGAGCTGCCGATCACTGAGATGAGCAGCTACTGGGTCACTTTAGCTCCACCTGATGGACATGCAGGGTGTAGCGTCGCATCTGTGGAGCAAAATAAGTGGGAAATCTCAATGTAAATCAATCTGACTGTAATCCTGACATTCTTAATTTTTCACAGAAGTACATGTTTGTGAAAAACAGGCACACACCGAGAGAAGCACTTCAGCTGACTTTAGAGCAGGCTGATCCATCCAGGCCACTAGAATTCACTTGAAATTCCTGGAAATTTACCCTTAAAGTTCAAACCAATGACAAGAAAACTTCAGTGATTACAAATATTTTAATAGCATAACTCAATAATCAGACAAGTCAAAGTTGTGACTCTCAGACATGAAATTATATTCATGGATCAAGAAGAAGAAGAAGAGGCCACGATTCCAGGGGTGAGCCAGGGAGCCACAGGGAAACATCGGTGCATTAACTAAGCTGTTTAGTCCTTTTGGAGAAACACAGCTCCCCATGGATGCCAACCAGGCACCGCTTGTCCTCATCAGCAGCTCTGGCATCGTGGAGCTAACCTGTTCACATTTAACAGTGGACAGTGATTGAAAATGATCACCCCTCAGATACTAATGTGGGCATCAGAAAACAACTTCCTGTTTGGTTTTCAGTTGAAAAGTCACCGACTACCTTCCAGAAACGGTTTTATCCCACTATGAGTGCAATAACACAACGACCTAGTCTTAACCTCAGCAGCCTAATGGCCATTTTAGCCACTTGGGGAAAAGTAGAACTGATTTCAAATCCACAACAGTTTAAACATAATACATGTAAAATAAAGATGCACTCATTGTCCCTCTGCAGGACCTTCAGTGATGTTGCTGTCTCAAGCTTTATTGAGACTGACCAACCCCGAGCTCGTGTTTAAAGTCTGAAAGTCTGCATTACAAACTGGAATTGACTGTTTTACAGGGAAAGTTGCACATTAACGGCACACCGCCATCTTTCTTCTGTTTTGAACAGCTGGGTCACAACTTCTGCCTCAAAGTGAGCTTTTATTTTTTGCTAATGTGCTCTAACATGACTGACTGCTGCTTCACTCTAGGAGCATGTTTGGCTCGTCTCTTTGCTATGACTCTGTTCTTGTGTAAGCCAATCGGGACGGGGCAACATTTAGCAGTGTTTCTTTCACACCCAATGGGATCAGTCCTGATAACGTTTGATGTCAGTTTCTGATTCGGAGGCTGTGGACTGAACAGTCACCTGCACGTTTGCACTGCAGAGTAAAACACTGGTCAGATTGAAGCTGCTGCAACAGCTTGAGTACTCCTCATCAGAACTGACGGAACCGTTCTGTTCTCTTTGGGTCACCTCTACCTTCGCCCACCCAGCAACTGTAAGACTAACTCCTCATCCTCTGCCAAAGAGAGACCAGTGTCCAGAGCTGTGTGCTCATCATCTTCATCGCTCACTTTCCTCCTCTTTCCTGCTGTATGCTTCTCATCCTCCTCTTCGCTGTCCTCCTCCTCTTCCTCTTCACTGCTGTGCTGCCGTTTAGACGACCCCATTTCCATCTCATCCTCCTCATCCTCTGACGACGAAGAAGACGACGAGTGCACTTTGTCGGGATCTGGCAGGGCACTGGGGTCAAACTCGTCTTCGCTGTCATTGGCCAGGTAGGCCACGACCTCGTCCTCCTCGTCCTGGTCCCGCTTGCTTGCCTCCTTCCTGGCAGCCCTCTCCTTCAGCCGCTTCTCTCGGTGTTTGGCTTTCACCTTGCGGCTGTACTCCTGCTTATCAAACTCTTGATCTTCCCGCTTCAGCCTCTCCCGAGCCTTTTCCACATTGATTCCCGAAACGTCCTCCTCTTCTTCCTCCCCCTCATCCTCAGCAGTCACTGCTTGCTGGACTGGTGGCCAAAGCTGCACAGCTTCACCTTCTTCATTGAAAGTCACTTTGGTGTTTACCTGAAACTTTCTCTTGAGGATCTTTTTAGCTTCTTTGTACTTTGTCTCTTTCTCAGTTTTCTTTTCTGGGTCATTTTCAGGATCCTCTGGACTCTGCTGATCCTCCGTCAGATTAAAGACATCCTTTCGTTTGACTGTCAACAGGTCCAAGTCTCGTAGATCATCATCATCATCATCATCATCACCGTCACCTGCACTCAGGGTTAATGTCTTGGACATATCCAAACCTCCTTCATCACCACCGTCCTCATCCTCACTGGACTCGTCTGACTCTGAGTTTTGCTGTTCCTCACGAGAAACCTCGCCTTTCAGCTGGGCCTTAAATCTCCTCAGCTCTTCTTCTTCCTCAGACTCCTCCTCCTGCACTTCTTTCTCTACTTTCTGTGCCTGAGCTTTACTTAGGAACCGAACCCTTGGGGCCACAGCGAGGCCGAGGGACAAAGCGTACTCGTGAAGCTTGATCTTAAAGGCATCAAACACCTCTTTGTTCTTCATGAGGTACACCGAGCGCAGGTAGGAAACAAAACACCTCTGGGCTCGCTCCTTCTGCTCCTTCTCCTGAGCGAGGAAGGCCTCCAGCTTCTGCTGCACGTTCTGCAGTTTGTCTGGGTTCACCTGGAAGTAGCCAAACAATTAAGTTAATCAGATCTTATGTAATGTTTTGTGACTACACTTAAATCTGCCTGTTTGAAACCACATATAAATATATATTAAATAAATGAACTATAATAAATATATTCTGAGGAGGTTTCTAAGACTAGTACAGCTCTGGGTGACGAGATGTGTGGACATAAAGGTTTTTAATTATTATTTTGCAATATTTGAAATATAAGTACCACATTAAGCTGTATCAGCAGTATTGGGTTTAGCATAATCATATTATATCTGCCTGTACTTGTTCCTAAATTTGAGTTGCTGTCACCACTGCGAGTCTTTTCACCAACTTTTCTGTCAGATTTGTAGTGATACTTAAAAAGTTATTTGACGTGTGCACACCTCGTTAGGACGGCAGTTTGTGCAGATATTAACAGTGTTATACTAACGTGTAATTCCTGGGGAGTAATGCAAAGTACTGTACCGAGGGTTTGAAATATCTCCTTCTAAATGGAGTAAAAACATCAAACAGTTATTTTACTGTTTTACATAAACCTACTGAACAGTGTGTGTGTGTGTGTGTGTGTGTGTGTGTGTGTGTGTGTGTGTGATGGGTAGATGATGTCTCACTTGTATCTTGTTGATGGGAACTTTCTTCTCCTCCAGCTGCTTCACCATGCCTTTCTCCTCCGATGGCAGCAGCAGCAGCAGGGCCTCTCCACCCTCCTTGTACCTGGCCGTCCGGCCCACCCTGTGGATGTATGTGTCGGCGTCCTCTGGACAGTCAAACTGCAGCACCCAGTGGATGGCAGGGAAGTCCAGGCCTCTGGCAGCTATGTCGGTGGCAAAAAGCACAGCGTTTTGCTTCTTGAGGAAGTCGTTGTACACCTCCACCCTCTTCATTTGCTGCTGTTTTCCATGCAGCGCCAGGATGGGCATGCCTGGCCGGAGACGGCAGAAAGCTCGGAACAGGTACTGCACCTCCTTGCAGCAGGCGAAGAAGACTATGATCTTCTTCTTTAGGTGGCTCCTAATGAATGAGTAGAGCATGTTGACCTTCTGGTGGAGCTCACACACGATGTAGTTCTGCTCCAGCGTGGCTGGCGTGCTGAACTTGGCTTTTTCGTGCACCCACACATACTCCGGATCTTTGAGACTGAGCCGGCCCAGGTCTTTGACTGATTTGGTTTGCGTGGCAGAAAACAGCAGAGTCTGTCGGGACTTGGGGAGATTCTCCACGATGGCATTGAGCGTATCTGCAAAGCCCATGTCCAGAATGCGGTCTGCCTCATCCAGGACCAGCATGTGGAGGTCGGACGCGTGGAAGGTGGCCGTTTCATCCATGTGCTGGAGGAGTCGGCCCGGGGTGCAGATGACAATGTTGGTACGGTGAATCCTCTCACACTCGCTTTTCAGGTCTTTTCCGCCGATGATGAGCCCTGCAGAAAACTCGTGGTTCCTGCCCACCTTGCGCAGGACTTCAAAGGTCTGGTAGGCGAGCTCTCGGGTGGGAGAGATGATGAGAGCACCGAGGCCGTCCATGGAGCTCCATTGCTGGCGGTAGAGACACTCCAGGACCGGTATGAGAAAGGCTAAAGTCTTACCGGAGCCAGTTTTAGCCGCACCGAGAACATCTTTCCCCTGCAGAGCGAAGCCGATGGTCTGCCGCTGGATCTCCGTAGGCTGCCGATACTGAGCCTCCTGCAGGCCCAGCAAGGTCTTCTTAGAAATGGGGAAGTCGGAGAACTTGACAACCTCCTTGAGGTTGATTTCTCCATACCTGCTCACCAGCTTATCGATGTACTCTCGTTCTACCTGCCACTCGGGCTTCTTCTTCTGCGCCCTCTCTTGCTTCACTCGTGCTTTGGTCCGGTTGTACTTTTTCTTCCATTTCTCGAAGTTTCTGACGGGGTCGACGCTCGCTTTCATCTTTTGGGGTTTCGGTTTTTTCCCAACAGGATTTGGGCCTTTTTTCTCCATGACTAAAGACGAGAATCGCAGCAAGATCGAGTCAAAAACACACACGCTGGACTCTAGATAAACAGCATGGAGAAGCCTGCTCGCCGTCGCGTGTTGAATGACGTAGTCATCCCGCGACTCAAATCTTTAATTTGGGGAAGCTTTGCCCTGAACTTCATTTGACAGGCAGAACTGCAAAATATTTATTTATGTATTTAAATGTATTCACAGCGCCGTGTAAAGAAAACGGGAGGATAACAAAGACAGAAGTGGGTGCAACGGTCAGTGTTTTGCATAATTCCGCAGTGTTGAATATGTTTACCGTCAAAGGTGGCAGCTGCCTTGGCCAGCTTCAGCCATCCTTCAGAAAACGTGTAAAAACAACAGTTATGGTTGTCATTCTCACAGAGGACATATATTTCAGTGATTTGACTGCTGCAAATCAGAATTCCCACTATATGTTTAAAAAAATCCCCTAACCTTCGCATTTAACCAGGTCCTCACCTTTCGCTATAGAAATATTGTTTGTTGCACAACACATGGAGTTTGCGTGTTTTCCACATATTTTCCTAGGTCCTCCCACAGATATGCGTGATTGACCCTATAGGCTTGAATGGTAGTATATCTCTATGTTAAAGACCCATGACAGTTGGCAGCCTTTCCAGGGTTTACCTTCTCTCTCACTCTATGATATCTTGTTACCCTTCAGCCCACCAGCTACCCTGAACTGGACAAGTGGAAGAAAGTGGATGGACAGAAAGATAGCCCAATTTAAAATCAAAATGTTTAATAAAGCAGGGTATGGTGTAGGGTAGGTCTGCCTTGGGACCGTAGTTGCTGTTGTATGGGTGTGCAGTGGTTCTTGGTGTCACAATTACATGAACTTATTATGTCAGTGTTTGTGTCACTGAAGTAGCATCAAAACTCTGAGTCTTCACAACAGGACCTCACCTGAGTGCATCACAGTGACTCTGTGGTTTAGCCCTGTGGCAGACTGGCAACCTGTACAGGGTGTATTCTGCCACTTGCCCTGTGGGATCTGGGATAATGTTCAATGTTCACAGCTAGAGTGGAAAAAACAACTCAAAGAGTGCGAGAAGCAGAAAATATTGTCTTCAATCCATCATTTGTTTTCAACAGACATGATATACAACAGACCTAACGAGCACTAACAGTCTGCTTCTCTATTCACATTTCAAAAACTCCTTCAAAAACTTTTTTGCGTATAAGTATCAACTGCTTTTTATTCAGCTTTCACATCCATCTTATCTACCTCCAATTATTCATAAAGAGCATGCCACAGGCAAAATATGGCAGCAGTAACAGTTCCGCTATAATTTCTTTATTAAAATCATGAAAATCAATTCTGTAATGCAAAACTGTGTCAGAGAAAATCTAAGAATGATGTTATTGCTGGAGATAGTCCTCGTTTATAAAGTTTGTAAAATGCCCCATTAGTGCTGTGCCATACTGCAGATTTTATTTGGTATCACTCTGATACCAAGTAAAACCAGGGCCAGTATTGCTGATACCAGTACAGATAGTGGTACTTTGAACTTATAAAGGCAGCTCGTGTTGTGGAGAACAGTTTGTGAGCTTTTTATGTATTTTCAAACTTCTATGAAGACCTGCAATGTAAATGTGCTTGTCTTTAAAGGACTTTGTGTTTGTAGCCTGTAGCACATTTATAAGACAGAAGTCTTATAAATGTGCTACAGGCTACAAACAGCATAGACCTGAGAGTCAAAAAAACATCATATGTCACTGTGCATGTTTGATGTTTATTTTTTTAATTTCTAAAAAATAATTCATTTAACACATGTAAATATTTATATGTATAAATCTTATCACTCTTTCTAGTATTGATCCGATACCAACACCAGCATCGACACTGTCGTTTCGACCCGGTCACCTGTAGGTCCCGCTACAGCCCAGCAGGTGGCGGTAAGACCGCAGAGTTTGGACGTCAACTGCGCGAAAACAAGAAGACGAAGAAGACCATGTCGACGCTGGTACCGCTCTACAAGCACCTGATCAGAAGAGAAGACAGATGATAAACAAGTACTAATACAGACCACTTTGCACAACACAGAGTGGATATCCGTCGGCCGAGCCTCGCCGACACCCTGCAGCTCTTATGCTAAACACGGCATGGCAGAGAGACCGGACAATGAGGTAACAGTCAGGGTAGCACTGGTTAGTAAAACATGCCACATTTTAACTTCGTGCTCTTAACACCCAGAAGTCGTTAAAGTCCCTTTTAAAGTGAAGCATGAATTTAAATAATCCACAACAGAGAGGCAGAGCTGTTACGTGACGTCTGCAGACGAGGAGAAACTTGTGATAGCTGCACAGCTACACGACTACAGGAAGCTAGCAGCAACTGACAAACTGGAAGTAAACACGAGTCACATTAGTCAGAAGGTTTAAGTTAATTTTGCTGAGTTTCTGGCCTGTTAGCAACTCGGCGATACGTGCCTGCAGATTACAGAGCCAAATAAAACTTTCCTTCAGCATTAAAATAGGCAAAAGGGTTAAAGCTCCGCGTGTGTTCGTTAGGAAACAGAGCTAAAAACATTTAGCCCACATTATGTAGTTACAATAAATACAAATGCAGTTTTATGAAGTGAAATTTTAACATGAAAGTCCAGTATCTCAAAATACCAGCTAGCTAAAAGATTGACTATTATATGTTATTTAAAGGCAAGCTGTACATTTGTACTGTTGGACTCTGCAGGAGGAAAGGTGGAGAAGAGCCTGCAGGCAGAGTGCAGCGGGTGGGGACGAGTGTCACGGGTGATTTTTGACAGATGGATAGCAGCAAGAGATAAAGGGAAGATTCCTAAGATGTTAGTTAGACCTGCTATTATGCACTGACAGAAAGACGTGAGGCCGACCTGGAGGTGGCAGAGCTGAAGATGCTACTGAAGATTTTTGTTGGGAGCGACCAGAATGGACACAGAATGGACACAGGGACAGCTCATGAGTGGTTTGGAGTAAAGTTAATGAGGCAGAGCTGAGATGGTGCAGAGGAGGGAGAGTGCGTGTGGAAGGATGTTGAAGATGGAGCTGCCAGGCAGGAGGAAAACCAGAGATGATTCATTGACGTAGTGAAGGAGGATATGCAGAGGACTGGTGTGACTGAAGACGATGCTGTTGAATTATATCCATCCATCCGCTTCCGCTTATCCTTTTCAGGGTCGCGGGGGGGCTGGAGCCTATCCCAGCTGTCATAGGGCGAGAGGCGGGGTACACCCTGGACAGGTCGCCAGTCTGTCGCAGGGCCAACACACAGGGACAGACAACCATTCGCACTCACATTCACTCCTAGTGGCAATTTGGATTATCCAATTAACCTATCCCCACAATGTGTTGAATTACAATTACTTCTTATTTTATTTGTATATAAGTAATGTGGAAGCTACAGCTAATGTTGATCAATATACTGCTGAGTGTTGTAATCTATAACTATGTGTAATGATGCACAAATATGTAGGCTAACATTGTTATTCTTAGATATGGACCCTGCTGTCTGCCAGTCACACTTACTCTGGCCTATGTTTAGCTGTTACATCAGTTTAGCATTGGCAAAATGTTGAATTGTGGTGTAATAAAAACCTGAAGCAGAACAAAAGAACATCAGCACAAAACGTGGTATCAGCCAGATGGTGTTTTAAACAAAGGTAATGATTTCAAACTTGGTGAAGCTTTTATTTGGATCATTTAGATGATAATACTAAAGATTTTACGGTACATTGAAGCACAACAAAACTGATGAAAATGATGCACAACAGCCAGCAAAGCAAATAGGAAAAATGACATATCAAATTAAATGCAAAATTAAAATATAGTTATTAATGATTAAAAATGAGAGTCGGTGCTGTTCACAGAATCACACCTGTTAACAATTAACGCTAAAACTGAAAAGGTGAGTTTTTAGTTTCGATTTGAAATCTGTTGCTCTGGAGTTTCTGCGCTGGGACCTCTGAAACATGGAGTGAAAGTTGTGACCCTACTGCTCTCCTGAACTGTGATCTTGGTAAATACTTTCATATTACCTTTATAGCCACTCTTGCTAGTTTAAATAGAATAGATCACATAGATCTGTTCTACATGGACATGCTTATATTAGAAAATATGGTCTTTATTATTCCTGAATAATGCTGCCATCCAGTGGGGTTGGGCATCCTCAAACCCTCTCTCGCTCATACAGATGTGTGAACATCCCACATTTATGATTGTGCATGTTGTTGTTAAGGTGGAGGAGGCTGACCACATCTACCTGCTCATGAAAGAGGACTACCGGATCTCTAGGAATGTGCGACTGGCGTGGTTTCTTAGTAAACTTAACCAAATCATCTATCCGGCTTCAAAGCCTGAAGTGGTGAGTTTCCTCTCCTGTTCTCATGATGGCCCAGCAGCACCAAGATCAAGACTGGCACCCTTCTATTATTATCCTTGTATATGCCACCGATGATTAGATGGTGGCTGCACTGTGACAAATTAAAGGAAAAATAGAGAGCTATTTTAACATTGTAACTGCTGTTCTGATTGGTCTCTAAAAGCTACTGCAGATCATATTTCCTCCCACTTCCTGTTGTAGCTGCACTCTGAAAATGAACTGGACCTGCTTAGCATCTTACCTAAAGGATGGCAGCCAGATATCTCCCCAACTTCACACCCATGCATACTGATGCCTTCCACCCGGGCCACCTTCCTGGCCCGGAGGTACCGCTTCATCATCGAGCTGGACCTGAGTCCCTCCACAGGGATTGTGGTAAGTCTTAAATGCACTGTCTCCTGAATGAGTTCAAACAATAATAAAAAGTGCTTAGTGCAAGAATAGATGTAATATTTAAGTTTGTTATGATTATTTGCTGTGTAAATTATTCATAGTGGACAATCCATTTGTCTGCTTGTCTTATATCAAGTACATCACGTCTCTTTCTGGCTCCTTAGTGTCTCAGTGTGTTTCCATTTGTAGTCAAGAAGGCTTTTAATTTATTCAGACGCTGTTAGAAGAGCAAAAAATATTAAAATTTTGTGAATGAATTTTGCAAATGGTAAATATTTGATCACTTAAAGTGCTTTTTCTTACTCCAGCTGCCTCTTTATTTAACATTGGGGACAACCCAGGGTTCAGTATGTTGCTCAAGGATACTGCAGATGAGCCGCTCTGCCTTCTGAGCTCACAATCATTTGCTGCTCTGACTCGCAGACGAAGCACCTCATTAAGATTTAGATTGTTCACTTTTAGTTGGTTGAATGTGAATCGTGCTCGAGCTGTTGCTCAGTGGGATGTTGCTACTCAGTACTGAAACCTCTCACAGAAAACTGGATGCATGGCCATCCATGCATGTGAAGCAGCACTGCATGGTGATCCAATGAACTCTTACCAAGTGCAATCACAAGGATAGAATTAAAGTCTGAAAGCACAGAACTGAGAGTGTTGTTGTGCTGCTGAATGTGTTCCTCAGTCTTCACATTTGACCCTTTTTATATGAGACAGCACAGAGTATTCTGTAAATGCACACGCTGCACTGTTGAACCATATCGTTGCATAAGAGAAGGACCTCATGCAGTTCAGAGGTTTCAGGTCCGCTTCTCTCAGCATGTCTGGTAGCATATGGACAACGGATGGACTTATTTGCTTCTTTGTTAGCATGAAGCCCATATCTGGAAAACTGTTAAGCAGTTACCTACAGATAAGAGATATCCTTGTATGGTGTAAAATAAGAACTTATTTTTAAGTGCCTTAAACCTGCATGACTTCAAATTGGAACCTCGGGTTGCAAAAAGTATTAATTCCTTTAAATTACAACCTCAGTAAGAGATTTTTCATAAATTTATGTAGTTTATAAATTCACCTAATGTTAAAGGTCCCTATTCCCATGTTGACGTCCAACATAACAGTTTGTCAAATCAAAGTTGCAGACCTGTCTGCTGTGGTGAACCCTGCTGATTAAGAGAGCAGCTAGAAGAAGCTTTAGGGCCGTGTGTGTTCTCTTTGGGGATTGTGGCTTCATCCAACAGTCCAAAGACATGCGTAGGGTTAAATTAAATGGGTTGAATGTAAGTGTGAATGGTGGTCTGTCTCTATATGTTAGTCCTGCGACAGACTGGCAACCTGTGCAGGGTCATGACAGCTAGGATAGCCTCCAACATCCACTACTCTCAGCTGGATAAGCAAGTGAGTAAGTAAGTAGATGGATGGATCTTCTAGAGCCAGAAAGCTGAATAAAGGAGGGTTTGCTTTAGTGTGGGCGTGGCTTGTGACTGAAGTTGTATGTGGGCGTGGCTTGTGACTGAAGTTGTATGAGTGCCATGTTTCTTTGTTTCACAGCTACATCAGTGCTGTTTGTTACGTCAGCAGTTTGCTAAAGTAGTGCCAACACAGATGTTCCAGTCTTCACAGCACAATGTCATCTAACATGTGAGTGACATCACAGTGATGTCACTCACATGTTGCCTTTAAAAAACAGTTAAGATAAGGCCTTCCTGCAAAGCCTCATCCTGAACTTCCACATCAGCCTGATGTTAATGTTAAAACTGTTATTCTCAGTGTGGTGAAAATCCATCAGACCGGCTCTTCAGTCTGCACAGCAGAGCTTCTGTGGACAGAGCACCGCTGGTTGAGTCAGCTCCACTAGTAACACACTTTAATTCAAGTTTAATGTTTTTTTGACGTAGACCTGGGCTCTCACAGTGGCTCCATTGATGCATGTAAAGAACATGTGTTCAGTTCAATATAAAACCTCGGCCTAAACTGGGCAGGTATGAATGTCATAGACTGAGGGAAACAGCTCACACTGAGTCCTGCCTCTGGTGTACAATATGCCAGATCATTTGGTGTCTCTGTGTTACACGTTGGTTTTGTGTCCTGCAGGATGACAGCACAGGCGAGATGATCTTTGATGAGGTCTTCCACGCCTTGTCAAGGTGTCTGGCTGGTCTGGTTCAACCATTCAGAGTCCCTGGAACAGATCGATTTTTCAAGCCTAAGATCTTCATCACCATCCTTGCATATTCCTCCATCATTGGCCTCCCTTCACATCAGGTAATGACAGTAATTTACTTTAGTCATAAAAATTAATGAAACAAATGTCTTCAAGAGTAACTTAACGTCAAGAAAAGCAGAGTTTCTCTCTCCAGCACGTGTTTATTGCCCAGCCCACATTGGTGTGGAGTGCTTCACGCTTACTTTAATCTCTGTCTTTACTATGTTTGACTACATTTCAGCCACCAAAGCACACGTTGGGTTAGTTTCTGTGGGAGATGTTAGGCTGCTGTAGATGTTTGTGCAGTTCTCTGACGGTCTTTAATCTTTTGTTCCCTGCAGGTTTTGGTCCAAGGATGCCAGCTTGATAAAACAGACCTGGATGAGTTCTTGCATCGCATCTACCAGCAGCTCAGAGCGTTGGAGAGTAGCATCGCAGAAGTCCTGCATCAGCAGCACGAACAGGCAAGTGCACACTAGCAGAAATGACCCTGTGCTAGCAAGAATGCTGTAACTATTAGAGAAACACTGCAAGTGTAAAAGCTCTCACCAGCACCCTGTAAAGCTCCACCGTGCCTTACAAGCAAAAATAAAACAACATCCTACTTTATCAGACTAGATTAGCATCGCTCTTCAGGTTGACCCCGAACATCCTCTCCACGATTGGCTTTCAACCACAAGCACCTGTTGTATCCATGGCTACCAAAAACAGCATGGGTGTGATACTTTAGCCAACTGCGGCAGGTTTGTTACGCCCTGTGATTCACTCGTGCCCCGTTTGTAGCAGGTCATTGTTGTTAAGAAAAAGATCTCCTGTCAAAGATCTTTATTGAGTGGTTCGTTTTGGGAAGAAGGGCCAGACTTTAAACAGCTATGTCTGAGTCTTTTTGTGGGTCGACTGATTATGCAGGTCAGTAAAATATCGTCTCTCATCACACGGCTGATGATCCCAGGGGAGCGAGTAGCTGATATCCTGATATGTTAACAAACACACAATTCTCTGCTGACATGATTCACTGTTATTTGCTAGAAAACAAACAGGGGCAGACTTTGCACTGCATTCAGTGCGTCACCTTGTCCACCTATGAAAGCACATGTTGTAACTGCCCTCAGCAAAGTGAACTAAAAGCTCCTCCACCTGGGGGCAGCTTGTGAGTCTACATCAAAGCGTGTCACAGTTTAATGCTGCTTTATAAAGAATGAGTGTGGCATTAAATCCTGCCTTCTATGTTGTGCATTAAATGTGTCCTAACACATTTATATTTCCTTTGCTTCTTAGTGCGTGGAGCCGTCACAGAACTCAAGTGACCAGAGCAGCGGCTTGGACGAGCACCCCCACCGGACGCAAAGTGTTTCCATGGTGTCAGCTGAAATGGGGCTGGTCAGCATGGTACGCCAGGGCATCCTGGCCCTTCAGCTGCTGCCTCCCAACTCCAGTGCAGGTTGGTGAAGTTACACTTCAAGTATCAGAGGTGTTATTTAGCAGTTTCTCTTTCGTTGTCGTGCCTTATTTAAAAAACGTCTCTTCTAAGAACAAATCTGTTTTTATGCAGATGATTTTGCACTTGACATCCACAGATCAAGAGAACTGTTTCCTCAGAGCCCAAAAGGTTGATTCTGTTCATCTGGACGTTTTCAGTGGGGGAGGAGTTTCGTCACTAATCTCAGCTGACTGCAGGTTTCAACCTTATAAACAGCACATTTCTGTGAAAAGGGAACGACCACCTCTGAAGCAGAGGGTGCATCTGTCTCCATCTTACATGCTGTGATTGCAGCCGTTCCCCACCTCTCTGTGAATGGGACTCATGGACATTGATCAGTGGTCTTTGATCAGTGCTGATGAGGATTTGCATAATTATGATGAAGGTGACCTCCCAGCCCATTGTTCCTTCACTGGGCTGTTTCAGTCATTATGCAAATGTCCTGTTTATAAGATTGAAACCTGCAGTCAGCTGAGACTGAAGACGTGAAAACGCTGATGAAGAGTATCAGCCTTTTGGGATCTACTTACCTGGATGATTGTTTCCTCAGAAATAACTGTTAACATCTGAAAGCACACAGTACTCCATCAGATATTCCTGATGTTGTTTTCCTGCTGTATGGGTCAACTTATTGATCTGATGTGAACCACTGAAGTCACACATCTTGGACCTTGTCATGGCTTCCTTTATTCTGCAAGCCAAGAAACTGTTGTTTTTATAGAGTTTATGACATGATTGATGGAGGAAGAGTGCACACTCTCAGACAGGTTAAATCACTGATGCACTCAGTTTCTCTTCTGTAAAATGACAGGTGTACTTATGAGAGAAGTAAAAATAGAGAGGTTGAAACGCTGCGTGCATTTGTTTTTTAACGTTAAGTTTCATTGATGAACAAGTAAATGCAGTCACATAAAACACACATAAGCTTCCTGTAACTTTTAAAGGTTTTTAATGAATGGTTTTGTACCACATGACAGTCATTTATGTGACGATCCTGGAGCGATGGATATAAAGTTGCCAGTGCTTTACAAAGAAGAATAAACTTGGAACACCGACTCCTTTCTTTACTTGTCTTTCTGTCAAAGGCATCATTATAATCACGGACGGGGTTACGAGTGTTCCTGATGTGGCCATGTGTGAAACCCTGCTGAACCAGCTCCGGAGTGGAACCATCTCCTGCTCCTTTGTACAAGTAAAGACAAGAATCTAACTCTGTATTCTGAATATACATTTTTGTGTGCAAGAACTGTTATCTAAAGCAGTCGCAACAATCGTTTTCCACAATGGAAGTGATGATGATTATTATTTAGAGATATTTAGGGGATTCTCCAGCTGCTCGTCTCTGAGTCCTGTTTTTGCATGCACAGGTTGGCGGGGCGTACTCCTACGACTGCAGCTTTGGCTATATCCCCAACGTCGAGCTGATGAAGTTCATCTCATTAGCCACTTTTGGCTCCTACCTGCCCAGCTGTCCTGAAGTGGACCTAAACAGCGAGGAGATGAATGCCTACCACAAAGCATTTCTAACATACTCCTTCCTCAAGAGCCCCGAGTCCATGAACTCAGAGTATTTCTGTGGTGAGACAACGATGTACAAGTCTGATGCTAGTTTTTTCATCAGTCCTGTGAGCACTGGTTCAGTGACAGGATGCAACACAAATTAGCTCTGACAGTTTTTAAAACCGTGCAGAATCTAAATATTTATTCTTGGTTTCAAAAGCTGTGTTTTTTATTGTTAACGTTTTTTTGAATCCTCAGTCTCAATGACTCATTTTACATGAATATATGAGCGTTCTCCCATCAGGCCTCACAGGACAGCACTCTGGTTGACACCACTGGTACCAAACGACCGGTACCGGTGCGCGAGTCGTTTGGTGCCGGGCTGCGAGACTTGAGGCTCCGGTGTGAAGTTTATGGTTTTCAGGGTTTTTATCGTTAGCTCTGGTTCCCTGGGTCTTTCTCGTGTTGCAGTTGTCTTATTTTGAAAGAACTATTTACGCGTTACCATAGTGACCAGAGAGCATTAAGGGGCAGAGAGGAGGATGTTACTCTCATGTTGTTGGTGCATTTCAGGAGGACGCTGCTAATAAAGTTACACAGTGAATTCATATTTATTCTTATATTTACAAAACACCACAGTTTTTGTCGCATCATTTTATTTTGTGTTTATCCGCGACACCTTAAAGGCCGGTCTGTGAAAATATTGTCTGACATGAAACCGTCTGTGGAGCAAAAAAGGTTGAGGAGCGCTGATTTACACCAAGCCTTTTTTACATTTTACTGTCAGTTTTTACAGAAAAGCAGCTGCTGAATTATAATATTAATCTTAAGCGTATCACAAATACAAGATATGCTGAATTCTCTTAGTTCCATAGATCGTTAACAGTTACTTACCTGGGATCTCTTTAGCTACATTATATGAAAAACCAGTTATATTTCAGGTCATATGAAGGAATACATAGAATTACAAAAATGTCCGAGGAGTTCAAACACTGCTGCATTTATCACTAGTCCTCTTGCTCTTCATTGTCAGCTTATTAGCGTTTGTAGGCCATAATCTCTTTATTGTTAGTGATGAAGACGATAGTGATGGTTCTAATCATCATGACACATACTAACTGCTTCTGTTTTTTGTAGTTTCCCAGCACAAGCTGTTCAATGAGCACCTGGTGTCGGCCAGTGGAAACCCTGCTCTGGTCATGAGGAGGAAGAAGCACACGGAGAAGGAGGTCCATGCTCATCTAATCAGCGTGCTGTCTGTGAGACTGAGAGAGGGCTACACCATCACTGACATCAGCCTCACTAAAGGTAAACGGCTGTGTGTCTTTACTAACATCTCACACCAAGTCAGGAAAACTGAATGTTTGTGTTGAGACTGAAGCTGCTGGTGACATTAGGTGGGACTCAGCTGGAGGTGAAGCTCGTGCTCTTATGGAAACACAACATGCACATTGAGTATCTCGCGGCTGCCTCCTGGCCACTGGACCCCTCCAAGAGAACCACCAGAGTGGAGGTGACGATGGAGGGGAGCTACGACATCTTGCACGACATCAGCTGCACCCAGAGGAAACCCATCACCAGCCAGTACCGCACCTCTGTCATCCGGCGCTTCTGGAACACACTGCAGAGGTACGACATGAGGACTGGAATCTGGTTTCCAGTTAGAGACTCTGTGCAATCCCACCATCATGTAGACATGTTGATATGAAAATCCATGTGCTGTTTGTCCTTTCCAGCATCAACCAAACTGATCAGATGTTGGTGCACCTGCAGTCGTTTAACTCGATGCCTGAGAACTACATGATTCCTGAGAGCACCAAAAATGGAGTTCCCCTGTTCTACATCCCTCCTGGCTCCACCACTCCGGTCAGCCTTGTTGCTATACTTCACACTATGTTGGGAACTTACCAACTCTTATGATCTGTGTTGGTGCAAGGTTTAAAAACTCTGTGTGTCACAAAGTGTTGCATTTTTTCTTGGAAAACTTTCATCCCGAATGCTCCTAAATCCTGCAGATTTATGAAGCAAGACACCAGAATGGACCCAAGTATTCACAAATTGTTCTTATTGTTCCCGCTGTGTGGGACCTACTAACATGTAGTGTTTGCAGAGACCAGCTCTGTTTATCTGTTTGTCTCTTAACGCTGTCGTGTCTCTCCTCCTCCTCCAGGTCTTGTCTCTGCAGCACAGTGGATCCAAAGATTCCTCTCAGTCCCAGTTTGCATCATACTGGAAGCCCATCCTCTCCATGGACGCCAACTTCTGGCAGAGATGGCTGCACATGCATCGCATTGTCATCATCCTTGAGCATGATATGTAAGAATAATGAATCTCCAAAAGTTGATTCTGTTCATGTGGACGCAGCGTTTTGTGGAAGAAACGTTTCGTCATCATCAGGTGACGTCTTCAGCCTCAGCTGACTGCAGGTTTCAATCTTATAAACAGCACATTTGCATAATGACTGAAACCAGCCCAGTGAGGGAACAATGGGCTGGGAGGTCAGTTCCTTCATCATAATTATACAAATTCTCATGACCCTTGATCAAAGACCACTGAGATTTCCTTACCTGGATGATTGAGCTTGCATTAAGAATAATGAAGCTCTTGTATTCTTTTTATCAGCCATATTTGTTTATGTCAGCTTGTTTTTCTTTGCCAGTCTTTCATTGCTACCACAATACTTTGACCTTTGCAGGCCTGTCCCCAAACATCTGCACACACCTGGGAACAACGGGCGCTACAGCACCATCCAGTGTCGCATCTCCCACTCGGCCCTCACGTCACTGCTGAGGGACTGCAGCAGCTTCGTGCTGGTGGAGGGTTACTCGTATGTAAAACTCATATACAGGTGAGACGACAGGTGGTGTTGGCTGATGATGTTTAAGACACACTGCTTCTGCCTCAACGCTCTTTGTTTTTTCTCAGCAGCTCTTCTGATCAGCCTCCCACCTCCTTCTACTTGGTGCGTGTCATCTCAAAGACCCCCTGCATGGTCCTGCGTCTGGGTTTCCCCATCGGCACACCGGCCCACATTAGGAACAAGGTACTCAGTCAAAAAACATGGGGCCAATACAATATCAGTCTTATGATCCATAGCTGTTAGTAGATGACAGTATTGTATTTTTTGTGCACTGTTTTTACAAAATGTGGTTCTCCGTTTCTTTTTGTAAAAACATGAAAGGAGGTTATGGGGCACATGTATGCTCGGGGAACAAACTGCCCCACTTGTAACTCTGTGAGACTCGTGTTGTGCTTTGTTTTCTAAAATCAGATTGTGGATGAGCTGCGAGAGCAGATCCTCAAGCTTCGCTTCCCTCATCGTGTTCAGAACAAAGAGGCAACACCCAAAACCAAGAGGAAGGCTGTGGGCCACCCGTCTCCATCCAAGTCTCCCTCCATCCCTGCTCCCAAGCCTGCGCTCTCTGACAGACCCTGTGTGGTGGTGGTCAGTAAGCCTCTGGAAAAGCTGCTTATCAGGTCGGTCCATGTCATAGTAGGCCACCAGAGGAAGGTCATGTAATCTAATAATAAATAAATAAATAAATGCATAACCACTTAAAAGTACTGGTTACAGTTTGCTGTTGCTACCAACAGCAACTGAATGGAGACTAACTGCTGATCCTGTGCAGGTATGACAAGCTTCCTCTAGACTTCAGGACTCCCTTCATCTTCAACATGGAGACCTTCCCACTGCCCTCCAACACCGCTGCACCCCTCAGCGTGGCAGCAAACCGCACAGCCTCCTCGACGCTGGCCTCTCTGTCACGTTACTTCCTGCACCAGCGTTGGGTGTGGGCCGTGCAGAGCAGCCAGGGACCGGCTGTAGCCATGCAGGCTGTTGCCCATATCCTGTCCATGCTCTCGGAGTAAGTTTTTTGATTGATTGATTGATTGAATCTTTATTTTGAACATGTTGAAAAAGTACAACAAAATAGAATTAAAAGAGACAAATGAACAAAGCAAAACAAAAGGAAGACGAGCAACCACAACTCCAAATAACGTTCATGTTCAAAAAGGAGCAGGAAGAAGCATAAGCTTATTTAATCCCACCCCTTTTCCACTATCTAGTATTATTAGACTACAGAAATACCTCCTTGCAATTACATTATATGTTATGTGTAATTTAAAATAACATTACTCTCTCGGAGTAAGTTCAAACTATTAAATGTGATCTCTTTAAAAATACCACAGCTACGAATATAAATGAGCCAGAGGAAGAAATGCACGCATTTGAGCAGCAGTTTTTCACCGTGGTTTTGATGGTATCTACTCTGTGGTTATGCAGCTCTCCCATAAATCAAACTGGAACAAACAAAGATGATTCTGATCTAAATTCAGGATTCTTTAAGTGCCGTGTCTCTCTTTACAAATTTCTTCTCTTTGAGATGCAAAACCTTAAAATTGTCCTGATGTCTGCAGGATTCGCCTGTCAGAAGGCTTCAACTTTGCTGCCAGTGGCGAGGGCATTATAAACCTGGTGATCGAGCTGCCAATGAAGGTAAAGCACAGCAGGACAAACTGCTCTCCCAAAGTGATTCTCTGTGATCCTGATTTGGTTTTATTTGTGTCTTCAGGGAACGTCAGGAGACGTGGACAGAGAGAGTCACTCTTGTATTGTTCAGTATATCCTGTTTCCCCCTCACTCTACCTCAACGAAGGACAGGTAAGCCTGGCAGTACCCATAGTTTAGACCAGGACACGCTGTTAGGACGCAGCTTTTATTAAAAGCAACAGGAATGTTTGTCACTTGGTTTGAGTTCAGCGTGATCAAAGTCTACGTTTAGTTCACCTGTTTATTAAAGCTACAGATAAGCACCAGAAACCAGAAACGGTGGATTTCATTTAAACCTCAGAACCTCTTAAAAAACAGTAACATGTACATAATGCAGCATTTTACATCCAGGCTCAGTTTGACTGGTTTATTCATGTTTATTGCAAAGCTGCAGCTGGTCAGCGTGTGGTATCGACAGTGATGAGGAAGAAGCTGTGCGACTGACATGTTTATGTTCCGCCAGCAGCGTGTCGTTGTCATTTAATCTGAGATACCCTGATGCTGTGTCGATGTCTGCAAAGTGTTAATCTAACACGAAGCCCTTTAACACAGTTCAAAATGTTTGTGCAGGTTAAGCTCAGCTGAACTCTTCAATTTTCAGCATTTTGTTTTGTCTTTCGTGGAGTTCTAGCTTCTCCACCGACGACGACAATGACACCGAGGTGGAGGCAGTCGACCTGGACACGGAGCTGAACCTCGTGACCGAATGCTGGGTGGAGCCGCAGTGCGGCACGGTGAACTGCACGGATCAGCACCGCTCCTTTCAGGGCCTTAAGTACCAGGAGCTCCCTCGAGCAGTACGAAAAGCTGGCTTGTACAAGCTGCTCTCAAACTAGAGCTCAGTTTGCTCCGTTTGTGTCTGTACGTGAAGCTTTGCTCGTCAAAAGCAGCAGGTTTGGTTTACGCGTCCCTGTTGTGTTGCAGATCTTCCCGAGGGACTTGGCCTGCATGTCCACCATGATGACCTTTGAATATCTGAGCCAGCTGTGTCAGAATAAGGATCAGGTCTGCTCTCTGCCAGCTGGACTCAAGGATGCACAAGGTAACAAATGTAGCTTTTAATCAGCCTAACGTCTCACATCACAGAAATGCCTGCAAGAGTCGTGCCACGCTGCAGTGTTAGCACTCAGTCTGCCGTTGTTAGACGTTTGTTGAGCTCATTCTAGTCAAACATTAAACTAAAGCTGAATACATTAAAGCCTTGATGGCTCAGCGGATGCGATTCTTCGGTTTTTGCTTGTTTGAAAATGTGATGATTTTCCATTATGTGCAGGAGAACATCTGGTCTCTGAGGAGAGCATCCACATGGTCCCTTTCCAGTTTGACCTCATTAAGCTGCTCCCAAAATGCCAGCAGGTTGAGCTGTTTTTCGTCACATTCAGCACAGGTATGTACAGCACGTTTTACGTCAGCCTGCTTTAGACAGAGTAGCGTGCTGTATATGAGGGCTCGCTGATCTTAATGCATCTCACTTCCATCTGTGTCCTACAACATGCATCTATACGCTTAGAAATGATAATAAATAAATATAATAAATCGATTTGAGCGCGTTTCCCTTTTTGTGCTCAGCGACGGGGAGTGAGGAGCAGATGAACAGCTCCCACTGCCTGCCCAATGAGCTCCTGCTCAGCCTCTTCCACACCAGCCTGGAGAACGAGCTGAGTGACAGAGAGATCCCGTTAGCTGACGGGGACCACGTCGCCTTCATGCATCACATCTTGGAGCGGGAACGAGACGGCCACGCCGCTCCTTTCTCCCTGCCGGTTATTAAAGGTCTGTACGAGTCTGTGTCCAAGTGGACGTGAATCTAGCCAGAGTATCTCCTGGAGGTAGATGATCCCATTATAATTGGAAAAGAATGATAGGAGAGTAACAAAATATGAGTGTTTTGTTATAAAGAACAACAAAATAAACTACCACAGCTATGCAGATGACACACAAATATATATCACAATGTCACCAGGAGACCGAGGCCCTGTACAGGCTCTTGGTAAATGCATTGAGGAAATTAATGACTGGTTGTGCCACAATTTTCTCCAGCTAAACAAAAACAAAACTGAGGTAATAGTCTTTGGCGCCAAAGAAAAACGATTACAGGTCACCAGAGAACTTCAATCTATACACCTAAAAACCACAAACCAGGCGAGAAATTTGGGTGTAGTGATGGATGCAGACCTAAACTTAGAAAAACACATTAAGACAATAACAAAGTCAGCTTACTATCACCTCAAGAATATTTCAAGGATAAAAGATCTGATGTCTCAACAGGACCTGGAAAAACTAGTCCATGCATTCATCTTTAGTAGGCTTGATTACTGTAACAGCATCTTTACAGGTCTACCTAAAAAATCAGTCAGACAACTACAGCTCATTCAGAACTCTGCTGCTCGAGTCCTCACTAAGACCAAAAAAGTGGACCACATCAGTCCAGCTCTGAGGTCTTTACACTGGCTGCCTGTCCGTCAGAGGATAGACTTTAAAGTTCTGATGCTGGCTATAAAGCTCTGAATGGTTTAGGACCAAAATACATCAGTGACCTCCTGACCCAGTATGAACCTTCCAGATCCCTCAGGTCATCTGGATCCGGTCTTTTATCAGTTCCCAGAGTCAGAACCAGACACGGAGAAGCTGCATTCAGCTTTTATGCTCCTTATATCTGGAACAAACTCCCAGAAAGCCTCAGATCAGCTGAAACACTCAGTTTATTTAAATCCAGGTTGAAGACTCACCTTTCTCAGCTGCATTTGAATAAAGCACCAAATCCACACTTTTAAGCTTAAATTTCAAAACTTACATTTAACTACTGATTTTATCTACTGTTCTGATTTTATCTGTTTTGATTTTATATACTGTTTTGTTTGTTTGTTTGTTAAGTGGGTTTAGAGCTCTGGGTAGCTCCCACTGGCTAGCTGGGTCTAGAGAGTATTTTAAATTCAGGGAATTTAAAATAGAAAGTAGCTCGTCCACAGAAGGACTGGTAGCTCCCCTTACGATAAGGGTTCAGATCGCGCGAACAGGTGTGAAATGTGTGTGTTTAGTTTGTTTGTTTGTTTGTTTTAATCAATTTTAAATCATGCTTTTTATTTGTTTTTGTTTCTAATGTCTCTGTGAAGCACTTTGAATCACCTTGTTGTTGAATTGTGCTATACAAATAAATTTGCCTTGCCTCTACTTTATCAGTTTCTCTGTCGTCTCGGTTTCTTTAGAGGAGTGCGTCAAGCCTCCAGAGAAACAGGACACGGTGACGTCATTCTACACGGCCGGCAGCAGCAGAGAGGTGATGGGGTCAACCAGCACTTTACAGGTGATCTCCAACATTTGCACAAAACCAAACCTGTGTCACTGTTAAGTGTTTTTTATTTATGTTGTTATAATGCAGCTAGTGATGATCTGTTGAAGCCTTTGAAAATGTTTGAATCCTTACAGCCGTTGGTGCCTTTAGGCTTGATTGCCACACACGTCTGTGATACTTGTATTGTTTTCTTTCAGTCTGCTGTTTCTAGATAAACGTACTAAAGTAAATCATGGGATATGAATGCAAACATTTCTCTAATAAACTGAATTGTCCTTTTGAGCTCTCTGACTGTTTCTGCAGGTAATGAGGCCACAACCACTCTGGAAATCTGCAGTGGGAGCTGCTTCAGGTCCCTCGTTGGTCTTCCCTATATTCGTGACAAATGTCTGTTGTGTTTGGCAGAGTTTCAGCAATGCAGACCTTGTGGATGAAGAGCCCCTGTTGTTGGAGAGCAGCTGCTCTGCGCCACAGTGGAGATGTTATGCCAAGTGCATCAGCTCCCAGCATCTAATCCTCACCTTCCTTCCTGCTACCTTCACAGGTGAGTCTGGAGTCTGTTGGCTGTGGTGCTTCTAGCGCGCTCTCATGATGTTTGTTATGTTGCAGATGTTCTGATGTTGATGGCTTCAGGAGAGAGCGAGCCTCGGAGTAATGTGAGCACACAGGAGGACGACGCTTTGACTCCCAGCAACAAATCTCAGGCTGACTCTTTGTCTGGATCCACTGGTGGCTTTGAAGGGTCCGAGTCTGGACTCAGCCTGCGCTCTAGTCGGCGACTGAGCTCCAGCACCGCCAGGTCCCCTGTGCTCTCATCTCCATCTGATGGCCAGACTGGAGCTGCTGACTCCCAGACCCTGGAGCAGAACAGCTGGGACAGCAGAGGCTCGGAGATGGAGAGTTGGATGCCGGGCTCAGGTGAGCCTAAAACCGCACGTCTGCAGGATTTTAATTGTTCAAACATTTTGCACAAAGATTTACGTTTTTCTGATGTTTCCAGATGCTGCAGAAAAAGAAGGAGTCCACTTCTCTGAGCCACAGAAGTCAGACTTCCATATCAGCCTCAGCAGACAGCTTTCCCAGCAGAGCACTGGTGACAGCAGCCAGCTGAAGTGTCCAGTTTACGTCTACAACTGTTCACTGGAGAATCTGAAAGAGCAGCTGGTTCACCCAAACTCCAGCCGCCAACCCAGGGACGTCTTCTTCAGGTACTGAGGGAAAAACAAGCAAGCATTGAAATCCTGAAAGACAAGGAAGGTTTTACAGTTGTGTTGCCAGTTACAATTACAAAATGATAAGAAGGTCTTATAGAATTATTGTATATATTTGGGTCTTTTGGTAACCTTGGCTATCTCATAATAATGACACTGTTATTGCCTGGAACACAAAAACCGTCACCAAATACTGAATATGGATCATCTAACCCAGTCTTAGAAGTACTAGACGAAGAGGAGCCGTGTTGTAATTAGGCTTTGTCATGATTGTGTGACGCACTGCGAGCCTTGGATTGTTGCAGTGGAGATGTTAACATGTGTGTCTCTGGTTGTCTTCACGGGGGAGAATAGAGCCCGAGATGCAGAGTCCTGGGAGATGTGTGAGCAGATGAAGTTCAGGTAGCACACTGTCTGTCTGTCTGCTCTCCTTCTGTCTGCTGAGGGGCTGCTCAGCTTTCTCTGGACACTTCTGGCAACTTGGGGATGCGCTTGTAGAGCGGGACAGTGTGGCTTTCCTAAAACTAGGCTGGTAAAAGCATCTACTCCCCGGGCCTGTCTGTGCTTCCTCCTGTTGCTGCAAACATCAGAGAAAACCACAGACGCTCATCAAAGGGTCACATTTCTTCTTCTGTTGCTTATTTGGAGCTCTGACATTGTTGAAGTCTCTTAAAACTGTGGCTTTGCCTTCATGCCTGCTCTCCTGTCCTACTGAATAAGACATAAAAATGATGTTTGGTATCATAAATACAAAGATGTGTTTTTTTGAGGTTGTAAATCAAAATTGCCTCAGTCACTTCCTGTGGGATGGGGAAGGACTGCAGGTTTAAGACACTTCCAGTTTAGACTGATATTTAAACCTGGGATCCACATCCATGTTTTATATACAAGGTTTTTATCCACGAACATGAATGATGAAAGTCTCAGCGGGATGCTGGCCTCGCTGTATTTATATGTGTTAACACTGATACTATCACAGGCTGCAGTTTTGTCTGCTGCTCTTCAGCTTTGTAATTTGTTTTATTGGAGAACCAGCCTCACTGCTGATGAGCCAAGGATTACACATGAACTATAGTTTTAATTCAAAGAGATGATGTGGACAGATCAAACTTTCTGTTTACATTATTTGTGCTGGTGCGACTGAGTAATGCAATAATTCAGTTTTCTGTGTGAAACAGCACTCACTGCGTGCTTGAAGCTGACAGCAATAGTTTAAAATAGTTGGCAGTATTTACTGGTACACCTCAGAAACACTGAATGTGGATTGTAGTGATATTTGAAGCCAGACTCTGTTAGGTCGGCAGGATATTTGTCAGGGATGATTATTGATACCTGTTATTCTATATAAGAGTGTCACACAGACACTGCACTCTGAACAGTGCAGATCAGCCTATTTAACACCACATGCAGTTTACACGAGACAGTTTTATTTCTTATATGAATGTTATTTATTTTAACTGTCATGAACAGGATGTGACACGTCATAATAATAACAACTGTGCTGCATTAAAACAGCAGGTGGGATAGCCAATCGTTAAGTGATGACGTCTGAACAAACTGCTCCGTGTTTATTAAGGCTGCTGTGTTTTTAACATGTTTTAATACTTTGTACCTTGTTCTAATCTCAACAAGCCCGTAAAAACAGTCAGTGATCACTGTCGGCCTGTCTCGGTTTTTATCATCACTGTTCATTTTACAGCTCAGTTTTAAACCTCACGATGTAGCTGCAGCCCAGCAGCAGTATATTAATGACTAACCTGGTCCTGTGGATGGATTATCTCAGTTGTTCTCCTGACTGAAGTTTGGTCCTTTTACAGCATCCTGCCATGCGATTGCATTTGTCCCTAACTATCAGGAACCCTCAGGTTAACTTTTATCCAGTGGAAGAAAGTTAGCTTGTTTATATTATGCTAACATAGCTGTGTTGCTAGCAATCACGTAGCACATCATTATATAGCAGCTAGCCCAACTTCAGTAACCCTGCAAACGTCACTGCTGTTTAGTTTTCTGTCTTCATTCATGTTGGAAGTGACAGCAGAGCTGTACGTTTGAACCAGAACGTGCCAGATATCATCTAATCTGGAGACTTCCCACGTACCACTAGATGGAGCCAAAGTACCACCAGTGGTACGCGTACCACAGTTTGCGAACCACTGATGTAGCGGGAATGCAGAGACTGGTGATGCTTAAACTGACAGCACGGGGCCATGACATATTTGTAAACATGTAAAGTTATGCGGATGTTTATAAACAGAAGCATACTGGAGTCTATCCTAATACTTAGAATGGGTTAACTGGGAAACAATAAAAGACTTCCTGTGCTTAACTAACAGTTAACTCTGGGTGTCAATACTGAATTAAGACTGTTGTTTAGATGTTTGTGTCTTATTTTAAGTTTAAACTACAAACCTATAAACACACACAAATAACTTCTACACTTGGGTTAAAAATAGAAATATTGTTAAATGACTCGTCTCTCCCTGACTTTGACCTGATAAATCATGTTTGCTCCTCCCCTAATTCAGCGCTTCAGATGCTTGCTGTGGAGGTTCAGCTGTCCCTCACAGGCTTATTGGCTCCTTCGATGATGCTTAATCCCCAGTCCCAGTCACATAAGCATAGAGACCAGTCAACAACCACTGGTTAACATGGAAACATTCAAATTTATTTGCTTTGGGAAATGCATGTCGGTCATTTAGCAGTCGGTCAGAAGGATTTTGGCTTGTGAGGGTTTCATCGACTGGTCTCTCGGCCTTGTGACTGGGCCTGTACTGTGGTGCAGATATGGGTTCATGTAAGTGCTTATGCAAAACTAGGTGCAGTGGAACTGTCTGTATTTTAACCAGCACTGTTTTCTACATGTGTGAAATTGAGGTTTTATGTACTAATGTGATCTATCCTTGTGGGTTCAACTGACCCTTCATCCTCCTGTCAGACCCGGGTTCCTCTTCTCAGTGTCTTTTCTGTGCTGTTGTTCCCCAGCAGGTCTCTATCTCAGGATCGCAGCAGTCCGTCTCCTTGGACCGACCTCCTGTCTCAGCCTCACAAACACAAGGAGCTGGCCAACTACTGCAGCATGCTGCAGGAGCATTACTACCAGAGCTACGTCAAAGGTGATCTGTGTCCACCAACACGAATGCTTCAAGCTTAACTGAGTAGTCAAAAAGAAAAATCCTTACTCCACCAAAACACACACACAAATGAGGATCTAAGGTTAGGTCCATCACAGCAGTGCAACATGTCACAGTCGTCCACGATTTCACAGGTGTTAAAATACAGTGACTGAAACTCGTCCGAGCGTCGTTTGGTCACGCGTCCATGTTCTTGTCAGGTGTATACCGCAGCCTGCAGCAGTCCTACAACATCAGCTCCCAGGACGTCCTGATGGCGATGGACTACTGTGAAGAATCGCTGCAGGAGATCGACATCACCTCCTTCCTGCAGACGCTATGTGGACACATCAGGGTCTTCAGGGAACACGGCAAGACTCCAGGATGGCGAGGGCCTCTGAAAGCTTCAAGGAGCCCTGCCACGTTTATCCTTGGTGAAGCTGAGGGGGAGCAACTCGATGATAAAGTGGCCTCTTCATGCAGGTGAAGCCAATCATCAGAATCAGACACATGCCAGTCTTTGAGAAATGAGTTGCTTCTATTTAACAAAGTTAAGTTACAGCTTATCACCTTCTTATATTTTGGTTTACATAAAACATCTCAGCATAGGGAGTAACCCACGTTTCTGCCCATCTGTCTGTGGATCTGTTTATCTGGGGCTAGTGGCATGCAAACCCTCAGGATAGTTTAGTCATTTGGTAATGATTTAAACTGTCCAGCAGGTGGTGCTGTCTGAGCTGGTGAATTCACATCCACAGAGGCCTACGTTTTCTTCACATGTGCTGATGTTGGTGTGACTCAAACATACTTTGATTCGTTTGTTATATTAATGAACTTTATTTATTCTCCACTTTTCTGTAAAAAGAGGGTTTAGTTCTATTATAAACAAATCTTTGTTTCTTGTAGCCACACTTCTAAGCACCCGTCTTCTCACTGTGCTTTACATGGTCAGGGAAAGACTTAGTAAACTGCAGTAAAAACTATAACATTAGACCTCCAGACCAGCCCCTGCAAGCAAGCGAGCGTGGGGAAGAAGAGCTCCAGTTTACCAGGATGAGATCTCTGACAGGAGCCGAAAGAACGAACACAGCACAAAACTATGATACAACTAAGCAGAGTTTTAGTGTCATTTAGCTTCATGAAAATGTTTGTAATGTAAGAAGTATAGATGGTGTCTGTTTCCTAAATGCAGTCTGCCACCGGTGGGCCTGTGCTCCCACAGTGGGCTGCTCTGTTGGAATAATGTGGCGCTCTGAGACCTCCAGGATGTCAGAGCTGTTTGAGAAGTGATGAATGCATGTTTCCCTTTCACCAGTCATCATTCAAATAAAGCAACAAACCACCACACCATGTTGCTAATTGTCCTTTGATGAATCACATCTGTTAACACGTTCCAGTTCATAAGTCTGCTGTCAGTGTGTTGGCTTTTCCCTTCCAAAGCACTTTTATAACGACTGTTTTAAGGTCAGTCTGCAATAAGATTCATGTTAACTGACACAGTTATTAATTGTGTGGTATTTCTGGCTGCAGTACTGAAGTGGAGGACACCAGTGAGGCTGAATCCAGAGGAGTTCCTGATTCCTCTGCTCCTACATCTCCACCGATCAAGGAAGAGCCCAAGAAAGGAGCGATACCAGAATTCCCTCTGACGCTGCTGCAGACACAGCCCGCGTGTGACGTGTATCCAGATCTGCACAAAATAATACAGGTAGTGTCTGAAGGGGAATCCCGTACTCTTCAGTTCCTTAAAGCTGATTCTTGGACCAGAAAGCTAACGGCTTTAAATAATTATCATTTCAATTTTAAACTGTTGTCAGGATAAATTCATGGAGATCCTTTCTCAGTATTTCAAAAGTGTTCCCTCCAACCCACACTACTTCTACTACTCTCCACCTTCATCCAAGAAAGAGGTGAGTTTGCTGTAAATTTGCTACAATATCATGCGTCACATAGCAGGTTAGATGTTATAAAGAGGGATGGACATCATCAAGGATTTGGACAAATCAGATGTTGGGGGGAAACTAAAAACTTTATTTCAGAGAAGCAAACCGAAGAGAGGTGAGTCTGTATCTCTATATCTGAGCATGAGCCTTGCTACTCTGATTTTCCTTCACAGGAGTCGGAGGACGGCGAGATGAAAAGACGGGCGAGTGAAGAGCTGCTGTCAGAAGCTGAGCCCGCCACTGAAGACGGTAAAGGCCGTTCTGGAACGTTTGCCTTTAGTTTGGGTTTGTTGTTAGTCTCCCGTCAGCACTGTGGTCACACATTCAGGTGTTCAGCAGTAACAAATATTAAAGGTGGAGGACCTTTCATGTTTCGTCCTTCATTAAGCACAAGTTGTTATACTGCTAAGCTTCAGAATCATCGAAATTACTGTGAAAACGTGACTCAACAAAAGGGCTGTTGTTGTTGGAGGAGGCTACAAAAGATAAAATGTGAGACTGATAGAAAGGGAAAATAAAACGAGTGAATTTCCAGCAGCCGTCCATCCTGTGCTCCGAGCACTAAATTTCAGATATTTCTCTAACAGCACCTGCCTGCTCGTGAGCGTTACACAAGTGGCTTTTTATAATGGAAAGCAATCGTTATGGTGACTTCAGCGTCCGGGAGAAAGGTGTAGAAGAACTCAAAGCAGGGTGAAGATGAGGAAGACTCTGAGGCCGAGCCCAGTTAAACTGATCATTTTAGTACGGCTCATTTCACATTTAATATCCAGTTAGTGCTTCATCAGTTAGTTTTTAATCAGCCTTATGCGTCGTTATTTCAGCGACTTCTGTTTCATGTTTTAGAAACGCGAGACACATCGCCTCCTTTTGAGGTGTCCCGACTTCAATAAATGTGGAGCAATGAAACAAACAGCAGAGGCCCAGAAGCGTGAGGTCGAACGCACACAGGAGAAGAAGTCTGCAGCATCACATCAGCACACGTCTCCTGCTAAGAACTCACTTGAAAATGCTTTTATAACATCAGGGTTAACGCCCCTTCTCACGTCGATTGCAGATCAAATACATCGATTGCAGTAAATGGTACAAACTAAAAACAGACACAGAAGTTCCTCTTTCTATAACACCTTCCATACATGGCAGTAAATTTCAAGCCTAGACGGTCCCTGAGGGCTTGTCCTTGTCTTCTGTCATCTGTTACCAAGCAAACTGAAATGCAGTTAGAAGCTAAATGAATTTCGGGCTTTTGTCCTGTAAGCGTGTGCGCTGTTTATCCTTCTGTGCTCCAAGTCACCTACACTATAGATTGTGAGGACATAGCGCTTCACAAAGCTTCAAACCTTCTTTAAGAGACTGAGCATCTACTCTGAATGAGCACAAACATGCAATGTGTATAAAATAATTATAGCTGCACCTGTAATAAAAAGGTTAACATGGTGGCAATAACTTTAATAAGCATCTCTAATGCAACATCAGTGCTGTGGGATATATTACTAATACAATGTTAATAATGCAGGTTATATTGTAGCAGTAAAATGATCTCTGTACAGGTGTCTGATACTCGTCTGTGTATTCATATGCAGTTATATGCCTTTACTGTTAGACACTGACACAAACACATAAGTTATAACTCGGTGAGTAACCTTCAGGGATTCCAGACGTTCATGTGGAGTCCTTTATTTCCTGGAACGCCCAATGCAGTCCTGCGTTATCGAGAGAACAACGTCAAGACAGGGGTCGCTTTTCCCGTAGTCGGCATGTAGCCCACATATGCACAACAATGCATAACAGGCAGGATCCACGTGGTCCCTGTGGGTCATTAAAACGCCTGAAAGTAAAATAAAGTCTTTCCTAAAACCTTATTTAACCAAAGACGTGAAACAACAAAAAGAGTTTGCAGAGTTTATGATTCTTAGGACTACTTTAAAGTTGTCTTGCTACACTTGCAGAAAATGTGCCGTCTTCCTGCATAATGACGGAGAGCGACACAGATCTGGTGGTGGAGTATGAGGAGCACCCAGGCAGCAGCTCCCAGGGAGAGGGTGAGGACCAGTCCCTGTCTGACTCCAACACTGTGAACCAGGACCAGGACTCGTTCAGCATCCTGGAGGGAGAGTCCCTGCTGGAGAACGAGGCCCCACAGCTGGACATGCCACCACTGTTTGTTCACATCACCTGCTCTGTCAACATGAAGAGCTGCCATGGCTCCGTGCCCATGCAGACGCTGCCCACGTGCCTGGGTGAGTACAGCTGACTGCTTTCCACCTAAGTGGCTTCTTTCTGTGCAAGGAAGCATATCTGAAGCTGTGTTGCTCTTTTGCTTCTATAAATCACCACTTTGGACAAAGAGCTTCTTCGTCACACTGTTAATTTTGTTCCCGAGCTTACTTCACAGTTGTGTTTGCAGGTGAGGTCATTTCCTGCCTGGAGAATGCTGAGGCGGTGCAGTCTGTAGATCTGAACGAACTCTCAGTCACGCTGGATATTTTTGTTCTGACGCTGCCTCTGGAGATCGAAGCCATGGCGGACTTCCATCATAACAGGTCGTGTGCAAAATCCAGTTTTTTTTTTTATCCTATTTATTTATTTAATTTTACATCCTGATCGGTTGCAGTAAAGATCCTTTGTAGGAGCGTTGGTAGGATTTTAATGAAATCACACTTTTTAAAAGTGGTGACACGGAGCAGAAATAAAGACAGAAACTGGTGACGTTGCTTATTCTGCAGTGAATTTCTCAAATGGCCTTTAAAGAGTTATTGATGCCTCTTTGGGCAGGACGTTACTCACTTTCCTGGATTTGACCACAAAAAGCAAACAGAATGAAAGGAAAGCTGAACATGAACCCAAAACAGACCCTTTCAGAGAACAAAGGGTCTTTCTGCACTGCTCTCTGAATTAAAGTGGCTCCAGCACAGATGAACCAGGAACACCTTTGAAAGAGAAACACGACAAACTGGACCACAGTTTGTCAACGTTTATGTTACCCAGTCCTAGTGCTCGTTAGCTCTGCTGGTGACCTGTCCAAGGTGTACACCGCCTCTCAACCTGTGACAGCTGCAGTAGTCGCAGCCAGATGAAGAGATGAATAAATGTCAGGCAGATGAAACTCAATGAGAGCATTTTAGCAAATCACAAGCTTTGAAAGTAAAAAACAGCTCTGTGAGATGGAGGCGGAGCTTCATTTTAAGACACACCCCACTCAGGACCCTGGACCTCTATCTGCCTGTATATAATCATCCATAATGCACATCTAAGAAAACACTGCAGCATGAGTCTGGATCTCACAGACAGTTATAGAAAAGGCTGATCTGACAGTTGGAAGAGACTCCAACAAGCCTTAGAAAAGCAAAGCAACAGTTGTGGCTGTGTCGGTATTTCACTGATGACTACACCAGCACATCTGGAATATCACTCCATTCATTTTACTACAATTAAACACGTGCTGTTTCCTTTTATTTATTTCATTTTTTTTAGTTGAACTAATTGATTATTTTATCCACAGAAAATATCTTATTTCAGTCATTTTTCATTCAAAGACTGCTAATTTCCTGCTACCAAGTTATTATTGTTTCTATCATCGTGTAAACCTAAAAACCGATGTGACAAAAATAATCAATTGTAATTTTTGTCTTCATGTTCAGTAGTTATTGCTTATTTTAGATTAAATTGACGGGATTGGAAGTGATGATTAGCAGCAGCACCAGAGTGAAGCTGTTGGCGGGAGACCCATGCACGCACTGCGTCTTTGAGTCAGTCTGAGTGTGGACTCCATGATGTTCACGTCAGCTGTCTCCGTGTGTAGGTACACCTCAGAGAGCAGCATGAATCGTTCACCAGGGCAGCCCTCCTCCTATCGCTCTGACGAGGAGCTGATGGCCGTGCTGGACAGTCTGAGGGGAGGAGGTGTCAACGGCATCTCTGGTGACCCCTTATCCAAACTCCCACTTCCCCACAAGTTGGCAATCCTGGCCACAATGGACGAGGTGAGTCCTCCCACACGTGACAGGTGGACAGCTTTTCCACATTACTGAAGCGTGCAGCGTTCGTACACTTCACAAGAGCATTTCTAATAGTCTTTGTGAAAGATTCACTGAACAGATATCTGTGCTTCCTGCTGTTACTGTACACGCACACACACACACACACACACACACACAC